CAAAGTCAGTAATTGGTCCTTTTGTGATAAATTTAGGCAGCCATTGATTATTAAATTCATATACCCGATACTTGGACCCTGCAACGAAGAGAAAATGTTAAGGTTATTACATATTCACAGGATATTACATGATGTTGATGTTTGTTTAAATACTACTTACCAAAAAATAATATTATTCTTGATTCATTTGAATTTGAATAGACAGCATCAACTTTTTCGTAGAATTTTGCTGTAGGTAATTCAAACACCTCTTGTAAAGTTTTATTAACATTTATGGCCCGTCCCCCCATGTTGTACATTGTCCAAATAATCTAAAAATGCACGTTTTACTTTCTGATGTCAAGATTAGAAGAAAAAAAATACTTACTTGATCTTTAAAAACATAAATTTTCCCTCGAATTGAAGCAATGGAGTCAAAATTTCCTTTACAAATGTCTACTGTTACTGGGGCACCACCAATCAAACTTGTTTTTAGGGTTAAAACAAATAATAAACATTGACAAAATTGAATCATTTTTTCCATGTTAACACAAAGTATATGTTTGAAAATAATAAAGTTAATAAATAAATAAATAAATAAATAAATAGTTCTATACACCACGCTGTGTTTTTTCGTTATGTACTCTTTCGGATTCGTTATTGTTTTTATATACAAACCTAATCAAATCAAAAACCATACAATGAAATTCCGAATAATTCGGAAAATGTTAACCAACTTCGCACCTAAGAAAAATACGTTGTGGTTTTAGTAATGGATTTAATTTTTAATGTAAATTTATTAATTAGTTAAACTTTTATCAATCCTACATAAAAATATTTTAATATAGAAAAAAATCCTGTCAAATTTAATCCTAATCCGATAGTTAACCCGTCCTCCAAAGCGATTAAAATGTAAAAGCTTTTTTAGATTTTTTTATCAAATTTGACGGTTTCTAACTTTTTTCAAAACCAATTCAATATATATATATATATATATATATATATATATATATTATATATATATACTGCGCGTCAAAATTTACGCATAACAAGTAAAAAAAATCCAAATCTAAAACGCCCTTACCATTCTTTATAAAATTTTATATATAAATACTTTAACTTAAATCTCAGTTTACTTGTTCAAGGGTTTTTCGAGAAAATATCCTCGTTACTGTTTGTTTGATTTGTACAAAATTTGCAGGGTATACTAACAAAAATACGGCAGCATATTTTTTATTTACATAAATAAAAGTTCCCAAAAATGTATTTGTCAAACGTTTTTTATTATAAAATAAAAGAGCTTTAAAAATATTTTCTCGAAAAACCCTCGAACAGGTAAACTTAGTAATAAGTTGGATTATTTTCATAAAAAATTTCATAAAGATTGATAAAGGCGTTTTAGAGTTAGAATTTTTTTACTTAATATGCGTTAATTTTGACGCGCATTGTATTAGGGTGGACCAAAAAAACTTTAAATTTTTTTTTATTTAGTTACCATTAAAACACCGTCCCAGATGACGAAAAAAAATCTTATAAAGATTGAGCTCTTAATATTAATATTAAGAGGTGGCTCATTTAAATAACAAAGGAAAAAAACTTTTTTTGTTTGGAATTTTATTGTGTTTTAACGAATCAGTGAGTTGTCGAAATCAATACATATTCTTGTAGGGAATTGAACGATCTACAAAAAAGACCAAATATGATTTTTTGCTTAGTCGACTCGTTTAAAAGTTATTTGAGGTTAAAGTTCAACCTCAAATGGTAAATTATGACTTTTATAGTTTTTCATACTCTATCACGAAATATTGGCTCAAAAACATGAAATATCATATTTTGTTCTTCGGTAAAACAATACAATTTTTACGAAATATCAATAATTGTGAAAAAAAATTGTTTTTTTCGGTTTCTAAATTAAACTTAAGGAAAAAATTAAAGGATATTAAAAGTTTTAATGAAAAAACCAATAATTTAAGCTATTTTCGCTATAACTCCAATAAATCTATCAATTGTGAATAAGAATAATTGCTTTTATATTGTGAATTAAATGAAACAACAGTATAGTAACAAAAATTTTTTAATGATACGAAATATGAAACATATTATTTTCTATTAATATCTTGTATGTCCGCCCCTTGCTTCCAAAACGGCTCTACATCGACGAGGCATACTTAATACAAGATTATCTAAATGTTCTTGAGGTAAATTGTTCCACAAATCCGGTAAAACTTCCTTCAATTCGTTTAAAGTTGTAGGAGGTGGTTGATGCGTTTCAAGGGCCCTTTTCAACATCGACCAAGCATGCTCGATAGGATTGAGGTCCGGTGATAAGGGTGGTAATGGCAAGTGATGAATTTGGGCATCCTCTATAGCTTGAAGTACCACTCTTCCCCTATGTGGACGTGCATTGTCATCCACAAAAATAAACCTATCTCCAAGTTCAATCGCTAGTGGCTCAATTATACCATTTATAATATCCTCACGGTATAGGTTTGCAGTCATATTACCCTCAACAATGTACAGTGGCGTACGTCTTCCATAGCTTAGACCAGCCCAGATCATAACTGACCCTCCTCCGAAAGGATGTATTTCTTGAACAGCAGCGCAATGGCGGGGAGTTCTTCGAGTTCTCCAAATTCGAATACGTCTAGAGTCATTATGAATACCAATTCTACTCTCATCGGTAAAAAAAGTTGAGTTCCATTCAGGACCCCAATTTATGTGAAGACGAGCCCATTCTAGTCGTTGCTGCTTGTGATGTGGCTGCAAAGGAACTCCACGCATAAGCCTTCTAGAAGCTAAACCAACTTCATGTAAGCGATTTCGAACTGTTCTGGCCGTAATATTCCGTCCAGTAAATGCACGAAGTTGATTTCTCAGACTTGTGGAAGGAGTTGTGGGATGTCTTCTCGCATTAATAGTTAAAAAACGATCTTCTCTTGCGGTAGTAATTCTTCTTCTTCCCTGTCCCCTACGTCTGACTACAGAATTAGTCTCATTAAAACGAGTTTGAAGTCGACTAATAACACTTTGCGACACTCCAAAATGACCAGCCACATCTACCTGTCGGACACCAGCTGAAAGCATACCAACTGCCCTGCTTGCTTTCATTTGGTTTAAAAATCGTCGAACCATATTGATAACTAATAATTGTTTCTAACCGGCACCGTTAAATACAGAAATTAAACTGACTATAATGCGATAAAACGCACTTAAAGTTTCTTGATTTTTTTTTTGTTCATATTATATTAGCAAAAAATGTACTAGTTATGAAAACATAAATATAAATAAATATACTACAATATACGAGGGAGTTCTGAAGAGTTCAAATGGAATTTTAAAGAGAATCGCCAGTATCCTTTAATTTTTTCCTTAAGTTTATTTGAAAATATATTGACTCACAAGTTTACGCTTTTAATCGAAAATAATTATTCTGAGCCTGTAGAGGGAGACAAAGGAAGGTACAATTTTTTTCAGATTGTATGCAAACTAGTGTGCTTCAAAAAAAAATTATATTTTTTTCAAAACTCTTTCCCTCCCAAATATTAGTGATTGTAAAAAAAAAATTATTTTTTTTTGAAGCACCCTAGTTTGCATACAATCCGAAAAAAAGGTCGATGGAAAAGTTTTTCCAAATTTTTATCTTCCTTTTTTTCGCTCTACATGCTCAGAACCATTATTATTATATTTCGATTAAAGGCGTGAACTTGTGAGTCAATATATTTTTAAATGATTTAGAATCCGAAAAAAACAATTAAAAAAAAATATTACGAAATTTTTTGGGTACCCCATTTTGCCCCCCCCCCCCCGCTGCCTTGTTTTGCCCCCTTTCACCTCCCGTCTGCTAATTGTACCATAAAATTAAAAAAAAACAGAAAATTTGATGTTAATCAAACTTTGACCTCGAATAACTCTAGACGATATCAATTTATCGAAAAATAATAATCATTGCCATAAGTTATATATAGAGCATATAACGCATAAAAGCAGTTTATCCAAACCAGATTTATTCGAAAAAAAAAAATATTAAAACAAATATTATAAAGAACAAAAAAAGGAAATTTTTCTGAGAATAATATTTACAGTATTTAAAATTTAAAAGAATTGTTAATTTAATAATCAGTGTTACCACCCTCCAATGCAACTTCTAAAAAACATCTCTAAAACTGATTCCATTGGTTGCTCTGCATTGCCAAGGTTATTTTAACAAGCTCCATCCTTGTTTTAACCTTTTTCAATTGGATTAAGATCCGGCGAACAAGAAGGCCACTCTAAAAAAGTGACACCTTACTTTTAGAAAAAGTGATTTTATCATAAAATAATAACGATTTATATGTGCAGGAGCGTAGATAAGTGTTAAAAAATGGAAGACTTGCAACCATGCATTTTTTTAAATATACTAATTTTTGCAAGTAAAATAAATTCTTTTGATTAGTTTAATTATTTTGTGGTTTAACGATAATATAGGGTTACCCATGTTTGTAAAGTATTTAATTTTGAACGTCATTTTAGAAAAGAAGTCATAGTAAACAAAAATATGTAAATTTTAAACCTTAATCATAAGAAACATCAGTTTTAAACCTTAAACCGGAAACTGTTTTACATACTAAATAAATTTAATAAAATTGTTTAATAATAAATGTATTTAAGAAACAGATTATGTATAGTTCTTCCTTTTCTATGTACTCTCTAAAAATGAATTAGTCAAACATGACTAATTTAAGTTATTACTGGCTGCTTTTTCACTTGTACCATGGTTGACCATGGAATACCATGGTATCCCAAAATTTAACAGCCAATTCTTAGGTAAAATTGTCCCCTGAATCCGAAAATACCGTCAAATAAAAATACCCATAGAAGAATATTTGGTGCACCCGGTATAAAAATCTATAAAACCAATACAAATTATCAGTAAACACTTATTTAAGATTGTCTATTTATAGTAATATTATATTGATGTCTCCTTTGACTTTAAATCTACAGGTGGATAAGATAAAAAATATATCAAATTAATTAAAAATAATGTGATATGTACATAAGTCGATAAAATGCTGTCGTGTACAGAATATTCGATCATATTTCTCTCAATATTTTTAATTATTGTAGTGAGAGCGATTAATTATTCACCAAGGGCTATATTGAATGTATACCAAAGACCAAACGGTCTATTTTGGGTGAAGACATGTTTTATGTATGTGGTATTATTAGCTAGAAAGGTAATGTGATAAACTTATGTTGTGGATTTTTTACGATGGTTTCCAATATGCTTTTAGCTAAAAAAGAAAAATAGTCATATTTATCTGGAGCTAGAAAAACCACAGACACTTTCCTATCATGATTTGGTAAAGTTATAATCAAACATGAAAACATTAACCTAAACTTAAAAATTCTTTTAGCCAATTGATGGTGTATACTTTAATGGTGCTTCATCCAATGGCGATCACCTAGTCGTAGGTACAGCTAGAAGAAAAAATAATTTAATCGATGCGTTTATGTATATTAAAATAAATGCCTCCGAATTTGGTTTGTTGGAAACCCTCAAACTACCAGACACGTCACTTTATCAAGATGAAACTAAAGAAGAATGGAATGTGGAAGGTATCAAAATCACTCCTGTTGAAGCCATGAAGAAATGGGATGTATACTACGATGGCAAAATGAAGGACAATAAAAATACTAAATATGATGTTAAATTAAGAGCGAGTTGGACCACAAACTTACCCATATTCAACTTTGATCACGATATGGATCCATGGGCAATGGCCAAAAGTATGGCCTATGAGACTTGGAGTAAAGAGTATTTCAAGAATTTAGAAGAGTAAGACACTTTTTATTTATTTACTTAATAAACTGCGCACCACTCAATGTGTCGCGACCAAAAAGTTCGTCCTTTTTCAAAACGACATAACTTTTTTGTTTCTTGAACGATTTTATTTTGGTTTGTGATGTCTGCTAGCCCCATTCTCTGGAAATTCATGCTATAGATATGAAGCTCACGGTTCTTCAAGTAAATTTCCTACAGGGTGATATGGAAATCGGTGAAAAATTTCAATAACTTCATCCAAGCCCCGTTTGTAAAAAAATAATATTTTTCTCGTTTTTACTTTGAAATAATGAAGTATTATGTCTTACCTTAAAACGTTTTTCAAATTTTTCGAATTGGAATCTTAACAACAAAAATATGATTTTTTTTTCAAAAGAGTACATTTGATGTTTTTTGTAGGGAATACACTCAGCCTTTTTAAGATAAAAAAGATAGGATGGTGAAAGATTGTTCCTTGAATAATTCTGAACAAGCGACAAGCAACAAACTTCCATTAATTTCAGAGGAACCTAAGCAAAGACCACTTTTTCAAAATGACATTTTGGAGAAAATTTGCGAAAACTAAACCTGAACCGATATTTACGTTCGTGACATGTTTGCTTTATAATTTTGACCTCCTAATATGATTCAGTTGTCAAATTTAAATTTTAGATAAAACCAAAATCACCAAGAATCAAAATTCGAAAACAATTCCCGGCTGTTAAATGTCTCAATAACATGCCTTTGCCAATGCCATTTGGGGATTCATTTTTTGGGAGAAATTACTGCAATTTGTTTGAGTGGTAAGGATAATGTTACATAAATTACATTTATATTGCGCACTAGTGATAACTTATTACTGATAAGTACCTACCTAATTGGTAATAAAGTTAAATACAAAATTTGTTTGTTCATTTTTGAAAATTTTATGCGAAGATATAATCATAATAAAAACTACAACATTCAACAAAAAAATGTAACAAACAATAACAATAATAACTTTTAATATTTCGTTGGCCCTCCCCTAACCCGTAATAATTCGTTAACCCTCCTGGGCATTCCCTAGACCAAGTTCCTTAGAAATTCCTGGGGTGTGGCTTCCCATTCTTCCTGAATCGATTTACCAATTCATCGTAAATATCGGTTCAGGTTTAGTTATCGAAAATTTTCACCAAAATGTCATTTTGAAAAAGTGGTCTGTGCTTAGGTTCCTCTGAAAATAATGGAAGTTTGTTGCTTGTCGCTTGTTCAGAATTATTCAAGGAACAATCTTTCACCATCTTATCTTTTTGTTCTTAAAAAGGCTGAGTGTATTGCCTACAAAAAAGCATCAAATGTACTCAATTGAAAAAAAAATCATATTTTTGTTTCTAAGATTCCAATTCGAAAAATTTGAAAAACCTTTCAAGGTAAGACATAATACTTCATTATTTCAAAGTAAAAACGAGAAAAAAATATTTATTTTACAAACGGGGCTTGGATGAAGTTATTGAAATTTTTCACTGTTTTACATATCACCCTGTAGTAAATTTACTTAAAGAACCGTGAGCTTCAAATCTATAGCATGAATTGCCAGAGAATGGGGCTAGCAGATATCACAAACCAAAATAAAATCGTTCAAGAAACAAAAAAGTTATGTCGTTTTGAAAAAGGGCGAAATTTTTGATCGCGACACATTGAGTGGTGCGCAGTTTAGATACTAAGTATTTTACTTAGGAACCATCAAACTCACTATGAGCAACACGGTCAACTTGAAGGTGTAGTGACTGTCAATGGAACAGACTATAAACTCGACCTTAATACAGTAAGAGATCATAGTTTCGGTGTGAAAAGGGAATGGAGGAATTTTCACAGATATGGCCTACATTTTTTCTCTGCTCAAAATGGCGATAGGTTCAGTGTCGGGATGATATGCATGCCAATATCGTTTTCAAGGTAAATTTTGACTTTTAACGAGCATTTGTTTAAGTTTCTAAAAACCTGACTTGGAATCTTGTAATACTTCAAAAACACTTTTTTCTAGATTAACCATGGGTTATGTGTATAGTAAGGAAGATGATAAGATTTACCCAGTATCTGATTGTGATCTACAGTTATATCAACATGGAGAAAACGCTGAACCTCCAAAAGACTACGCCTTTTCTTTTTGTGCTGGTAAAATTTTTTGTAATTTATGTCTTATTTACTGAAATCAATGTTGCAGGTGGGAAAAAATACACAGTTCAAGTAAATGTAGTGGATTGCCCATACTTTTATTTAAGTAAAGACTGGGAAAGCAAAGTAGTGGAAAGGCTATGTAAATTTAAAGTTAATGGGGTTGAAGGATGGGGTGCAGCTGAATGGCAATATAGGAACATACAAGGACGATTTGTAAATAAATAGATAAATGTTTCTAGATACGTAAAATCTTTATTCGTTACATAAGAATATATGGCGTATGACAAAACAGCAAAAATATATTCATATTATCGATTTATCAATTGCACTATAATTCAATTCAAAACTTTTCGTCAGTAGGAATTAGTTACACTGGTCTGCAATGAAACCCCCCTTAAAATAAAAATGTTGATCTTTTCAGATTTATATTCTGCATCGTTATAAGAAGGAGGATATTTTCTATTTTGCAGACCATTGTTGGTGGTAATTAATTAAAGACATTCGTCTCTGTGCGCGGCAACTTCGTCTTCAGCGTCGTCTTGTTCAGCCAATAAAGGACTTCCGTCTGTGATTGTACCTACCGTATTCGTGGCTTTGTGCACCGGAAAAATTGGCACGTAATTTGCGCATGGGGTGTTCGGAGCCGAACGAGACAGCCAGCTTCTTGAAGACACTGAAAAAATTGATTCACTAGAAATCCTATTTTGATTTTCTGCAGATGATAGCAGAGCTGGGAAAGTTACTTCTGGAAAGTGTCTACACCTTTTCCAACAGTATATTCGAAAGCGTTAAATGTAGTTTCGAAATGTTATTAGTATTTGGGTATATATCAATTGAACTTTAGAAATAAAAAAAGTATTTTAGAAAATATCATATGTAGTTTAGAGCTATTAATTTAATTATCGATATCGTCAATTGTAAATGAGAATAGTCAAATGATTATGAGGCTCCGTCAAAAGTAGTTTCGGTTAGTAAATTTAATTTTAGAAATATTCATATGTATTTTAGCTTAATCATATGTAGTTTCGAAAAGGTGATATGAATTTTAGATAGCTATAGTCTGGAGCGCGTTTACATTAATTCCGGCAATCAATCTGAACGCGCTCCTGGTGGCTAAACATGAAACTGGGGTTAAAAGTCAGAAATGACAGATTTCTCATTTTTTGGTTGTTACTGATACCTACCAGGTACGGTCGTGAGCCATTCAAGAGAATATAAAATATCGAAATTTTCTACATAAAGATCTTTTCTATGTAGAGAAAGGTAATCATATGCAGATAGTTAATTAACTAAGTTAAAATTAATTTAATTAAAAAAATCTTGTTTTTTCATATTCTGCAGCTCCAAAGTCAAGAATTCCAAAAACATAAAAGTAACGCAGAATTCCCTTGTTTTAACCGCCTCTGAACGTAAACGTGAATAAAAATTTGGAGATTTGTATCAAATCGTAAATATTTATCTGTAAAGATATTCAAAAAATCACCCTGTATGGCAAAAACGGTGGGCATTTGGATGTATGCGTCAACTTTTTAGATTACTTTCGGTCGCCGTTAACGTGGTTAAAAAGATAATGTCTATGTTATTTCGAGACACCCTGTATTTACTTAATCTATCACGCAACTTAGAGGTTGAGATACAGCGAGGTCATAAATTTTACACAGCTGTCAAATGATGTATTTTGACAGAAATAACATAATGCCATCGAAAATACAAATGATGCTTTCAAAAATTCATTTGATGCTTTAAAAAATTGATTTCGAAAATACATTTGACGTTATCCAAAATCCATATGATAAGGATAAAACACATCTGATGCTTTCCACAATCCATTTGATTAGGCTAAAATACATTTGACTGATTCGCAAATCTAATTCACTGTTAGAAAATACAAATGATATCTTCTACAATTCATTTGCCAAGACTAAAATACAATTGACGCTTTCAAAAATTTAAATGATAATTTCTCAAATACTGTTTGAAAAGGTGTAGTTACTTTTCTAAAATACTTTTAAAAAATAACTAGATACTTTGAGTTAAAAGTATCTTTAGTTACAAGATACTTTAAAAAGTATCTAAGATACTATCCAAAAGTATATAAGATACTATATGAAACTATCTAAGATACTTTTGAGTAACTAAGATACTTTTAAGTAACTAAGATACTTTTAAGTAACTAAGATACTTTTGAGTAACTAAGTTACTTTTAAATACGAATAAAAACTATAAAATTATGAAAATTCAACAAGTTGTAGGTTAGGTAATTACTTTGAATCATTCTGGAATTCCTCCAATTTTCTCTAAGAAAGTATCTAGTTACTTTTCCAAGATACTTTAAAAAGTATCTTAGTTACTTTAAAAGTATCTTAGTTACTTTAAAGTATCTAAGTTACTTGAATGTATCTTAGTTACTTTACAGAGTAACTTAGATACTTTTTTACCCAGAAAAAATCTAACATAGTACCAAGAACAGCGCTGTCATTGAATGCATTAAAATTGAAGCAATCTGAATTGTTATTTGCTCAATTAATTACTATTAAACCAAAATGGGGAAATATTTTGCCCAAATGTCAAAGAATTTATTGCGTTAAATGTAAACATAGTATACATACAATAGTAACGTTATTAAATAAATCAAATTAGTATTTAATGCAATAACATTCTAACATTCTAACAAATAAATATCAATATGAATATCAATAGATTTAGGAGCGATAACTTTTGTTATTAATTTAAGAACAGTAAACGATTATAAACCAAGTGATAACTACCTATTGGTATTATAGGAACTGTTATTCAGGAATACGGATTACAAGATCCCATTGGTTTAATGGCTCACCCATTCATGCTATGCTAGCGTTTTTTCTGTGTGGTAGTAATTCTTTTGGAATGCTAAATGAAAAGTAAATATAAATGGAGGTCTACTTACCATTTGGTAGATTCTTAGGCTTATTTAAGACAGTACCAGACAGCGGCATGTACAAAGTCTTCGCACGCATCTTGTGGAACAAATTCCTGCTAGGCCGTGCCTCCTGACTCGGTAAAACAAACGCTTTATGCTGCGGCAGCTTCTGAATTTTATTCAGCAGCTCCTTCATCTCCAACGTGGGGCTGGTGGCTCTTGGAGGCGAGTCAGGGGTGTCCAAGTTGGCCAGACTGCTCACCTCCGAGCCCGTCATGGAGTTGGTGACGCTGTAGTGCAACTCTTGCAGCAGCGGGTTGGAGTGTATGGGGGTTTTGTTCAGGTAGACCACGTTGCTAGGCATGCAGACCGACAGGTTTAGAAGGTCTGCGAAGTTGTGACTTTCTTCCTGGCTCTCCGAGTCGGAACTGCGTTGCTTTAGGACTCTCTTGGTGCCGCGCTTGTGTGCGGGGGTTCCATCACAGCTCGTTTGATTTTTGTTTACTATTCTATCTGAAATATAAAGAAACGTTTCTTGTACCCTAGTAGCAATTCCGGAAAAGTCTTGGGTCAAGATTTTTGCTCAAGAATTGTACAAGAATTGTTCCAGATTCTTGGCCAAGATTATTGGGCAAGACTTGAGCCAGACTGTGGCCAGAATTTGACCAGAAATCTGAGGCCATCTATTGCTAAACTTTGGGACTATCCTATAGAGTAGAGGTTCTCATTCTACAGTAGTATCATTCACAATAATGTATACTAGTCGAGAAGTGAGTTCTCTGTAGAAAATGAGTATAGTTTTTTTGTTTATGTGAAAATTCGAATAAGAGCTTATTGGATTCGTCTTCTAGCTGAGAAAAAAATTGATTTTTTGAAAAATAAAAACTGTTATTTCTAAAAATCAAAAATTAAAAAAAAAAAGTGTGTGTCAGCTCTGACGCATAAGGGCAATTCCACGCGTAATAGCGTAATTTTCTTCAAATTTATATCAATCGAAATGTTCCAAATGTTATTAAACTAGGAGCATACATGTTTACTTGTGCCTAGAAAATTATTACTTTATTTATTTAACCCAATATTCCATAAAATTTTAAATAATTAAAAAGTCTTAACTGCTTTTGAATTCTGCACTAAAAATATGTTATGTCCCATGAGTTATCATATTAACCAATTTTTTTAAAACCTCACACAATCAAAGCAGTTAAGTTGAATGTTTTTTAATACACTATAGGCAAAGTATATTTTTAAAATAATATTATGTTTCATACAGTTTAGGATTCAGAGAAAAAGGTTGCTTCATTTAACCAATTTTTTAAAGAAAGTTTTTCGTGTCCCATGAGTTATCACACGTTTTGTCTGCATTTTGTCTAGAGATCAATTGGTGAACTTATTCAAAAATGTTAAAAATGTATATTGGCCTATCCTTTAAAGTTTAAACATTTTATACATTCCTAATAAATATAGGTATTCTGGTATACCAAGTTAAATTTTATTTCTGTCATCTGAATGTCCCGTGAGTTATCATGGAATTGCCCATAACTAGAGTTTACTCTTTATGAACATGAAAGATTATAAAATACATGTTTATTTTTACGGGCACCTGGTTTTTTTTTAACATAGAAAATTAAAAACTTTAACTCTTTCAAAATTTGTTTCGTTTTTAATTCTATTGTTTACCAGATTTATGGATAAAAACCGAATTTACTGGAAAGAAATCGTGGAAAATTAATGTATTTAGTAACATTCTTAACTTTTGAAGTTCAACAAAATTTTGTATTGACCAAAAATCTTGAATTGAATGTTCCTATTTAACGTGTAATCGTGTAAAAATTCTTGGCCAAGGATCTGGTCAAATTCTGGTCACAGACTTGTCCAAGTCTGCCACCAGTCTGGATAAAGAATTTTGATCGAGAGTCTTGGTCAAGAATTGTCCAATTCTTTAAAAAGTGCTTCTCCAAGTATCTTGACAAAGAATCTTGTCCAATTCCATTGCTACTAGGGTAAAACGTATTTATAGAAGCACGTTAATTCCTACCTGTACTATATAAATGTTGATCGTTTGGCACAACAGCTTTATTGGTGGCCGTCGCCTCCTTGCTAAGCTTCACGGAGGCGAGGGCGTTTTGCGAAGAAGGCATATGGTGATTAGGCATGGGGTTTTCGGGTTCAGCCGTGGCGCAGCTGCTGGTGCTGGGCGACGAGGACGACGCCCCGCTCACGACAGCTTCGTGCAGCTGCTGCTGCATCAGCGAAGCTGAGTGCGGCAGCAGCCGAGGATCGACGTTCGCCTGTTTGTCGCAAACTACTTCGTCTAGACTAGCCGTACTAGAGTACGGAGGCGGAACTATAGTATTGGCCTGGAAGAAATGATCCTGTGTTAAGTGAAATTTTAAAAGCAAAATAATCGATCCACACAAATTTTCGATGAATTTCAATCGCAAATAACTTTTTTATTTGATGTCGGATTTAAACGAATATTAAAGAATATTGTAGATAAATTAATGGACAATCGCTCACATTTTAAAAAAATACCAAAAATAGACGTAGGTTTATAATATACAGGTTTAAACAAAAAGATGTTTTTTACCATAAGTTTAAGACACTCTGTAGAGAGGCAAAAACCGTATATTGTTCTAAATTAAGTTTTATTTATCAAGTCACATCTATTCTTAACAGTTTTGTTTTTGGTTCACCTCGATATATTTATTTTTGTGGAAAATATGGATCGTATTAATGGCTCTGGCAACATCAGTCGGAGACATCCATTTAAAGTAAGAAGACACCTCAAAATTTAAACATTAATTTGCAAAAAACAATTTGATAGCTTTTAAAAGCCGTGTATGACATGTCCAAGTATGGGATGATTCAACAAAACTGTCACTGTCATTCTCCATAGCCTATGGATGGACCATAGCAACCTTAGTTCTTCATACAGAAAAATATTGGAAATTGCAATGTTTTTTAAAAAAATCCATATTTTCCACAAAAATGAATATATCGAGGTGAACCAAAAACAAAACTGTTAAGAATAGATGTGACTTGATAAATAAAACTTAAGTTACAACAATATACGGTTTTGCCACTCTACAGAGTGTCTTAAACTTATGGTAAACGTCTATTTTTTAAAATGTGAGCGATTATCCATTAATTTATCTACAATATTCTTTAATATTCGTTTAAATCCGACATCAAATAAAAAAGTTATTTGCGATTGAAATTCATCGAAAATTTGTGTGGATCGATTATTTTGCACGTGAGTGTAGTTAATTATTATACGAGAGCTAATGTAGGTTTATATTTAAAAGGTTTGCATCTCGAGTCGCCAGACGAGAGACTTAAATCATTTGAATGAGTAATGCGCATAATCTTGATTAATTATTTCTTGTTTATTTTATTTTAATAAATTTAAAAAAATAGTTTAATAGGTATTCTTTTTAGTGCTTATTGGAATATTTTTCAAATTAAGCAAAATAAGCTTGGGTACTTTTTTTAAGAAAAAGGGCTTGTTTGTTCTTTATAAAAAAGTGTTGTTCAAACAATGTTTGTCACTCGGTTTTTAATGTCGAAATGTTCGAAAAAAATAATAGCAAAATGGGGTTCTATCGAAAAGTTTTGGCCAGTAGGATTTTAAAATTTTCAGAAAAATTGACTTCTGCTTTTTTATAGTTGGTAATGGGTGAATCTCACGAAACGTCCCCCGATGGTGTTACCCCGTGATATTTAATAAAACTAAATGAGTTTGACCTACACTTTTATTGTGTTTTGATCTTTCATAATTAAGTAGATATTACAGCTCAGGTTCCAGATTTTTAACCGCAATTAATTATTTTTTACAATGTTTTAAAAGTCTAAAACCTATCCTCCGTGACTGTTACTCTTTCTAGGTTAACCTATAAGTTTTCAAATATCTGAGGTAGTAAAAGCATACTAAAAATGTCAGTTTACTAAGTGCAACGGATAATCATTTTAAATAAGCAAAAACCTCTGTTTACATTATAGATGCATGTGATTCCTGAAGGTCAGTTAGAATTTATATGCAGATGAGATTGTTGATGTTTTATAATATAAACAAAAGTTTAAGTTCATTAATTTGCTATTTAAAAACCTATCCACCGTGAAGTGTAATATCTCAGTAAGTAGATTTTTTTTTATAAATATTTTATGTATGTACGATTGTATTTTTTAAAAATATTAAGGTGTCAAAAGATACAATAACTTATTTCAAATATACAAAGGGATGTTAAAAAAAAACATACGAAATCCTAACCTCCGTGAAGCTATCTTCCGCGAAGCTCTAATATTCAAAATGTGTGATTTCTTAAAATTTTTACATTAGTGCAGAACTACTTATGTTTTGTTATTACTAGACCTGGTGGCTTCCCAAAACCCCCAATCTAGACTATCAGTGAAACAACCAAAAATAAAAAATAATCATTTTCACTTGGGGGACATCTCAATATATTCACCCTAATATGAAAAAATGCAAAAGTCACTTTTTCTAGAAACTGAAATGGAGAAAAAAATTCTGATTATACATGATTATGATAATTATTCCTTTTATTATAATTCATTCTATATTCTAAATTGGGCCGGCGGAAAAAAAACCGTTTTTGGGAACTGTGAATTTTTCAGAAAAATTGACTTTTTCATTTTTTAAATTTTATTCAAAGGGTAATACGTAATTTTTATGGATAATATTGCGATATCGTACACGTGTACACTGATATCGACAAAAAAGTGAATTCCCGACGATGATTATAATCATAATATAATAATTATAATTTAATTCAGTAAGTATATTCTACCAGGCCGCAAACAAAATCACATTCGGTGCTGTATTAACATAACTTTTATTTAACACTTTGATTTATAAAATTGTAATTTTGGATTTAAACTTTATAAATCATTCATTATTTTGTAGTTGGATATTTTTAATGGACTCCTTTTTGCAAACGTTTGTTTTCTTAAATCATTTTAATTTAATTCAATTTTTAGTTTTATTTTTTTTGTAATAAAGGATTTTTTTAATTAAAATAATGCTTTAATGCTTCTTTTTTAAAAAAATCTTTTTTTCCAAAAAAAGACAATTTTTCCAAAGCCTGGAAAAACAGAAATAAACAGTTTTCCCCCTAATTTTTCCGTTTTTTTTTCGACACTTTAAACCCCCCAGTACTACATAAATAATAAATTAATTTATTCAACTATAAACGGTAGTATTTTATCACTAACATGATTAATATTTAAAAAATACTTGGATGCATACATATACATATTTAATGTTTTAAAATATTCTATGATTAAAATGCATGAAATTTCACAAGAAACCGCTAAAATTTGGCTGAATAATATATTACGTACCTATATACGTAGGTATACGAAAAAATGGCATAATATGGTTGTGGTAGAACTTCGTGACGTGAATTTGGTTGATAATCATTTTTTGAATTTTAAATAAAGATCTTATCTTTTACCGTAGAAGATAGATCTTTATTTAAAATTCAAAAAATGATTATCAACCAAATTCACGTCACTAAAATTTTACTTACTTCAATAGCTACGTTACATATAAAACTGGAGTTAATTGAATCGTTAGTACTCGTGGCAGATAAGGAACGCTCTCCAGTTGGTCCTACAATTAATTTTCGAAAATATTGAACCATGAGGTAGCCCGTACTTGTGTTTTTTATTGAAGGTTCTAATTCGTAGCTTATCACTACTGGGTAACGGTCTGGCTTGGAAGTAACCTAAAAGAAAAAAGTTTATTTCGCATAACTTTTGTATAAAAATATCTTGATTAGTTCAAAAAATATTGTATAACAACAGAGAACACACCAGAACAAAAAAAACTTTAAATATAAAAAGAAAATAAACATATAAGTATGTAGATATAATATCAAATTAACACTTGCTTAATTAATATTAACAAATACAGAGTATAAAAAGTATACACTTTATTTAAGATCTATAGATCTTAGATATTTAGAATGTATACATTAAAAATTCATTTAAGCTATAATCAGTTACTAGATATTCTTTTAATGTTGGTTCAAATTTTTAATTATTAAGATTTTTAAGGATTTTATATAAAAATAAGGCGTCGCGACGCGTCGTAAGAAATACCACTATAGACAGTGTTATTTTAGTTTGTTTTATTAGTAATAATTCTTTATGTCTTGTTAAGTAAGTGTAATTACGATTAGTTTGTTCAAATAACATAAATATATGGCAAAGTACAAAATAATTATTTAGTAGGTTTAAGATTAAATATACCTACTTCGAATGGGTGAATCTCACGAAATGTCCCCCGATGGTGTTACCCCATGATATTTAATAAAACTAAATGAGTTTGACCTACACTTTTATTGTGTTTTGATCTTTCATAATTAGTAGATATTACAGCTCAGGTTCCAGATTTTTAACCGCAATTAATTATTTTTTACAAGGTTATAAAAGTCTAAAACCTATCCTCCGTGAATTTTACACTTTCTAGGTTAACCTATATGTTTTATAATATCTGAGGTAGTAAAAGCATACTAAAAATATCAGTTCACTAAGTAAATTAAACACAACCAAAGCAATCGAATCAAATATAAAATATTATTAAAAATTAAAAGAAATAATTTTTATAACCATTTATGTACATAGGTGTTACAAACATTGATTCTATCCTCCGTGAATCTGTTTTTGCTTTAAATTGTATGCAACGGATGACGCTTTAATCATTTTAAATAAGCAAAAATCTCTGTTTACATTATAGATGCATGTGATTCCTGAATGTCAGTTAGAATTTATATGCAGATGAGAGTGTTGCTGTTTTATAATTCAAAAGTTTAAGTTTATTAATTTGCCATTTAAAAACCTATCCACCGTGAAGTGTAATATCTCAGTAAATAGATTTTTTTATAAATATTTTATGTATACATGTATACATGTACAATTGTATTTTTTAAAAATATTAAGGTGTCAAAAGATACAATAACTTATTTCAAATATAGAAAGGGATGTTTTAAAAAAACATACGAAATCCTAACCTCCATGAAGCTATCTTCCGTGAAGCTCTAATATTCAAAATGTATGATTTCTTAAAATTATTGCATTAGTGCAGAACCACTTATTTTATGTTATTACTAGACCTGGTGGCTTCCCCAAATCCCCATTCTAGACTAACAGTGAAAAATAAAAAATAATCATTTTCACTTGGGGGACATCTCAATATATTCATAAATTATATCACGAGAACTATGAATTTAATCGGTTAAACTAGGCTCAGTAGTTTTTTGTTTGGTTTTTCTTGAAAAATGTTGAATGCAAAATAATTTAATAAAATCACAAGACCGCGTAGCGGTCGAGGGGTTTTATTTTTAATTATTTTGCATGAAACTATTTTCCAAAAAGAAAAATCAAATAAAAAACTTTCTGAGCATAGTTTGACAGATTAAATTTATAGGTTGAGTGATATACGTCTAGATTATTTCTCGAATTAAAGGAAACTATTTGACAATTCATAAAATCTGACGTATGTGTCAAAATTTATAAATATTTTTTTAAAGAAAATTCCATTAATTTAAGGTATGTAATAAGTAATAATTGATATTTCGTAAACTAGATAACTTATTTTTTATTGTTTTTTGTTAATGTTTGTTAAAACTTGTAAATAACACCATAAAATCGTAAACAAAAATCCAATATGGAGGCTAAAATTTAATCGCTGTTAAATAGTTATAGTGATTTAATCGCTTATTTAAACGAAATTTATTCGAAAATTCAAGGCTTTTGATTGGTTCATATTGTAATGATGGAAATAATCGTAAGTAATATCATAAGGGCATCTAATTTTTCCGAAAAAACACGTTGCTAAGTAATATTTTAACAAGAAGCATGAGTGCTGGTGGCAACAAAAATCCGAGTCGAAGAGGAGGATTTTTGCACCTGCACGAATGCATTTTGTTAAAAAATATTACTTAGCATTGTGTTTTTTCGATTTTTTTCACAGGAAAAATTAGATGCCCGAATGGTATTTGACAAGACTATTTCATGAGTAACAGTTAACAATTAAAATATAAATTGCAATTTTTGGTGACAACAGCTGTCAAGTTTTGCCGCGGGTAATCTCGAAAAAACTGCTGACAGGGGCTGTCATACAGTTTTTTCACCTAGAAACCATTTGTAATTCAAAATTGCGCGTTTGTGATTGGTGGAAATTAAGACGAGGGAAATAGTCAGCCTAATACATTTCTAATTTTTTCGTTGAAAATGTAAGAAACAAAATTAAAAAAGTTACCAACAGAACGTCAGTTTGACAAAAAAAAGCTTAATTTACATAGAGTTTTATTTATCAAGAAGGCAGGATTGAACTTTTGTGAACGATTGTTTTTCGCTCTTTCTATATCAAAAATTTCTTCAATATTGATTTACCTCGGAATAGGGTGGAGGCGCTTGGTAAAAACTATTGCATCTGCTGTACTGTGGAGGCGCGTAACAGGACCCGTTAGAGTCCGGTTCGGACGCCCTGTCATCCCTGCTGGAATCTCCACAACACGAACTACCCTGACTGTGTTTTCTCCATAGTGAGCAGGCGCAAAGAATACCGGTGACCGTCGCGGTTACTGCCAACCAAAAATACCTAAAAATAAAAAAAAAATGTTTTTAAGGGTTGTTTCCACATTGTTGGGTCGAAAATAGGGCTTATTTAGTGCATGGTTTCTTTGCTTAACCCTTTCAATACTGCGGGGATATATGCGTCCCAAAGAAAATTAAAAAATGTCTCTACTTACATAACATATTTTGTGCAGTTTTTGTGTAAATTTTGCTTGAATTTTTGTGATACTTAATGTGCATTAGGGTGGACCGAAAAAAAAAATAATTTTTTTTCCTTAGCCTGGGGGTGAAATTTGTAGCCTATAAAAAAAGAAAATTTTTAAAATAAAAAAAAAATTTTACTCAACGTCTTGAGGTGGCCCTCTGATTTTTTAAATTAAATTTAAGTTAAAATTCTTTTGAATAAAAAAAAAATTTCAAAAGTGTGTGTGGTCATTATTGTTGTTTTTAAAAAAATTCCAAAATAGTAACATGCTTTTCTGAGGCAATAGAGCGAATTTCGAGTTGAACACGATCAAATTTGTTTATTTTTAGATAAATTTGAAGATTACAAGCCAAAAATTTTTTTTTTATTCAAAAGAATTTTAACTTAAATTTAATTTAAAAAATCAGTGGGCCACCTCAAGACGTTGAGTAAAAATTTTTTTTTTCAAAAATTTTCTTTTTTTATAGGCTACAAATTCCACCCCCAGGCTAAGGAAAACAAAAATTTCGCTCCACCCTAATGTGCATTGTACGTCACAACTCATTTCTCAAAATATACGTTGGGACAAAATTATCCCTGCAGTAATATGACAGGGGATAGATTTTATCCCATCAGTGTTTTTTGATAATAAACATTTTCAAAAATAGTAGAATTTCTTTAGTGTGGGGATAAATATATTCCAGGGCATTTTACTGCAGGGATAAATCTGTCCAAGGCCTTTTTTTCAAATACCACCAAAGTTAAAAATTTGTCATTCAGTCAATTACCTATTTTTAACCTAAATATAGTTTTAAATTAATTTCCGAAAAGTCGTATTGAAAGGGTTGAATATTTTGAAAGTTGCCTTGTTCTTTGACCCAACAAAGTTAAAGGTTAGCTTTACCAATGTCCTAAAAATAAGGGGTTAAAAGCAGTGGCTGATTGTATAGAGGAAGGTCTGTACATAGTGGAAGAAGGTAGATAACAACATCCCTGTTTGCAGCACTCTTTAGGGGGCGAACACGGGTAGTGCCCCCCGTCACATTTGTTGCCTAGCAATTGCTAAAATTAAATTTATTTTATTAGTTAACTAAATTAGGTTATAGTATATTACACAGTACGACCAAATTTGATTTTTTTCCTCCCATGAAAAATTTCTATAGATTTTGAAAATAGACTCAAAAAAATGATACCCGTGTATCGGCGTTTTTTCAGAGCACGTCATTTTTTTTTTAAGTGCGATCCAATAAAATGTTATCCACGGTATTCAGCACATAATTCAACAGATAATAGATAGACAGTATATTTTTATGAAAAATTTATTCACTGAATAAACAACCATTAAGATTATTTATTTATTTTAAAATTATTTTAGTTATATAAAGGGTGTTGCACATTTACGAAATACGGGTGTTTCACGTTCGGGGTCCATTAAGAGTTTCTGAGGAACGGCAAAAGATATCGATTTGAAATTTTTAAAGCGTTTATAATCCAATTAAACCTATTTTTCTAAAATATTTTAAACAAAATGCCACTTCCGGTTTGGCCGGAAGTAACATCAACTTTGTTATTTTGAATGGAACACCCCATATATTTTAACATTTTTAAATTCTACACAAAATTTTGAGTAAAATTACTGTACCATGTCCTATAACTAGGGTAAATAGTTTTGGAGTTATTAATTTTTTCCGTTAAAATATGACAAATGAGCGTCAATCAAAAATAGCCTATAGCTTTCTTTCTATTAGGTTTGCAAAAATGGGGGTAGAATTTTTGGAATCTTAAAACATTGTTTAAAACATTCCATGTCAATTTCTTAACATACCGGGTGTTACATTTAAAATAAAAAAGTTATTAACGTTTTAAGTTAGCCCAATTTGCCCTGGGGTTTCTCGGGTAATTTGTTGAAAAATGTTAAAGAATTGACATGGAATTTTTTAAACAATGTTTTAAGATTTTAAACATTTTACCCCATGTCCTTAAACCTAATAGCAAACATCTAGAAAACTATTCACTTTAGGTATAGGACATGGTATAGTAATTTTATGTAGAATTTACAAATGTAAAAATATATGAGGTGTTCTATTTGAAATAACAAAGTTGATGTCACTTCCGGTCAAAGCAGAAGTTGCATTTTGTTTAAAATATTTAAAAAAATAGACTTAAAATTAAAATTTCAAATCTATATTTTTTCCGTTCTCTAGAAACTTCCAATGGACCACGAATGTGAAACACCTTGTATATCAAGTGGTGTTTTTAGGTTGTGATACCACTATAGATTCGAAAGCAATGTAAAATCGTCAAACTAAAAGATCAAGACTTGTTTCCAACATATACTTAATATAAGATAAATACAAATCTGTTGTTTTATTAAAAAAAAAATCAAAAATTAAAACCAGAAATATTTTTTTTACTTAAAAAAAATAAAATTGTTATTTTCTTTAAGTATAATTTTTGTATTATGTAAAAACATAAAATATTTGAACTAAAAAATGATTTATAACAAAATAGAAAATTAAAAATCTGGTTAAGTTAAAATAATAAGAATGGCTGTGTAAAAAAATTAAATGACGTGATTTCGTAAAACGGTGAGACACAGGAACGTTTTTTTAACCTTTATTTTTAAAATCTGTTAAAATTTTTCATGGGAGGAAAATCGTGTTGTACTGTGTTATGTATCAAGTTTGATAAACGCCATTTTAGTTACGAATTTAATTTAGGCACGAGCAATCTTACCAGCGAGTACTTAATTAAATGAGTAATTAAAGTTAATAACTACTACACTTTTTCTACGACCAATACTCATTATTATTTAAAATGGATTTAAATTAAATATTTTTATAGTGACATCTATAAAAAAAATAAAGTAAACATCTCAATAAACATTTTTGACGTAATTTTCACCATTAACATTGCCCGTTATTATTTTAATTAAACTAAACAATTATATATACTTTAAAATATTAAAATAACTTAAAATAGTTTTACGTGTCAAGCTTTGTAAATGAATCTTTACGTGCGAGCTGGAACTTTTATTTTCTCCTTTAGATAACGATTTTCAAATATAAAATTTTAAATAATATGTCAAATGTTCTGACATTTCTTTTCATAAATTGCTTTTCTACAAGCCTGTAAAGGTGTTTTATACAAGCGCGTAAAATATTACAGGTCTGTTCCCATAATGTATCATTTACTTGGATACAAAAACAACAAAATTAACCTATAAAATGCCATTAACTAAGAAGGTGGAAATAAAATATGAATAAGTTCAAAAAATATTTTATTCTTTGATTTTTTTAATTACTATAATTGCAAAATATTATCACTAAGTATTAAAAATTCTTAGACGGGAAATGTTAAAGGTACAAAAAGTTGCAGTTGTTACGTTAAAATTTTAAATTTTTCTGTTTAAATCAAAATTTATCCCTTGAAAATAGACTAACAATCGATATGGAAGCACTTATTTACAGTAAAAGAGAAGAGAATGTTTTAAGGGCACTGTAAGCAAAAATTTTAACGCTTTATCAGTTAAATCTAGTTTACTGCACTACTACGGCGAAATCAAAAGTTTCAAACGTTCATTTTATCTTTTCAAATATTGACGTCAAGAATCTATTGTATTTTGGTATTGAGATAATAAAATAATTTTAACATATATTATTATTTTACAAGAAGGGCACTTTATTTTAACGATTGTGCGACATTTTACAACTGTCAACTAACTTAAAACTAACTTCATCCCGTGACTAAAAACCTGTTGCTAACTTCAGCCCGTGACTAAAGCGCCATAAAGCCACAACTTGTCAATGTGTATTTAAAAGGACACTTAGTGTCATGGAAACATGTACGATAATGGGCGTTTTAAAATAATATCACTTAAAGAAAAAAGTCACAAAAAAATTAAATTTATAATAACAGGCCCGGATCTAAAAAAATTCTGAGCCAAATGAGAGAAAAATGATAAAAACTTTTTTAAAATGTTCCCTTTTTTTAACCACTTGTATAAAACACCCTGTATATAGGGGGCGGCAAAATCCAGTTCCGGGCCTGATTTTAAATAACGAATAAATAAATATACTTACAGTAGTCATATATGACTTTTAATTTGTGCATAGATGTTAAAACAATGTTTTTAAGGAATAAGTGCATTTCACTTGTTTGAGGCCATTATCTAAAACAGGACAAGAATATATTTTTGTTGGCGCCACTTTTTATCAACCATATTTTAAATTTATTTATGACTGTACAAATTATTAAATCAATACAATAAATTTAAGAGTAATTTTATGAAAATTGGGATTTATATTATAAAGCCTCTGACCTAGATTTTCGACAGCAACAAACAAAATTTAATACGTACGTCAAATAATTTTCAGTCAAAGAAAAATATCAAATTTCGCATTCGGGACAAGAATTCATTGAAAATTATATTTGAGAGAACAAAGAATAATAAAATAAACGCTAAATTTAAAAAGTATCGATCTATTCTAGACAAAAACAAAGAAAAATCGTAAACAGAAACCTGATATTACATAATAGAACTAATTAATGAATTTATTTAATTAAAACACTGTGTGCTAATTAAGGACTTTTCATGTATAAAAACAACTTTAGTAAAGTAAATACGCCCTATAGAAAAAAACAACACACTTAATATTTAAATACCACAAAAAACAAACTTTGCTAACAAAGTGTATTATAACACTTTTTTCTATTAAACTTATAATAAAAAAAACTAAAAAATAGTTAAAAGTTAGGTGGAAAAATCATAGTTTATGTACTTACCTATTAATTATTGTATTTTTGTACATAAATTCGTGGATTTAAACTAAAACTACCACCCATTTAATTAATAAACTCGCTTATTATTATTAGTAATATTCCTGTGGTCGACTATGTAATAAGAAACGCGCGTGTAAGGGTGTCAGCGCCATTTTGCTAGGGTGAATTCTATCACAGCGACGCATTGCAGTGACGTCGGTCCACGAGTATCTAGGACGATGGCGCACACTGGGAGGAATTTCAAAAATCGCGGACAAAACCCTATTTTGTAAAAATCAACATAGTAAATTTTAAATTACGAGTTATAAAAAAAGAAAGCACAGAGATTATGATTTTAAAAGAAATATATTTTTTTATGATAAAATGCCCGCTTAAACTTGCTTAAAAAGTCACATTGTTCGTGTCGGTTTTTTAGAGCAAATTGTATGTAAGTTTTTTAAGCCCATTTTTGTTTTGCGTAATTAATGAAAGGAAATGATGGTATATTTTACTACATTCCTTATCCTTGTTCTTTCATATAAAAGTCTAAAATTGCAAATTTTACCATAAATACGGTTTTTATAAACCTTTTACCATCGCCTTTAAAAGTAGATAAATCTTTTACAAACCACAAGATATTTCGTTAGGTGTGCCTTGGTGTGACGCAAAGTATTTGGTACCAGAACGTTCATCAAATTTTCTTTTTTTAAAGTCAAAAGAATTAAGCTGCCTTTTTTTGCCTGTTTGGTCAGCAGAATATGAAATATGTCCATGAATTTATCATATTAGTCGAATATTTATAAGTCATCATAGTTGCCTTTTGCTAGTTCTAAAACGTCAGTTTCCAGTAAAAGTCAATCATACATACAATCTCATCGTGTTTTTGTGTTTATTAACGCTTTATAATAATATTTGGTAAGTTATAATATTAATATTAATATAAATATTACATGTTTATTTGAATAACTTCCTTCTTTTTATGTAGAAATGCCATCAACGACTAATAAGGAGTTGTATGAACTTATTAAAAATGTTAGTGACACAGAAAAACACAAAAAACTTTTAAAGTATCTAACCGAAAACCTGGATATTATTGATAAATCTTATATTGTCCCCTTAATCCGAAAATATCGTCAAAAGTTAAAAAAGTAAAACAGTTTTTGAGATATAGTCAATTTTTCATTTAATATGGAATTGACTATATTTCAAAAACTGCTCCACTTTCATAATTTTTTATGGCATTTTCGGATTCAGGGGACAATTTTACATAAGAATTGGATGTTAAATTTTGGGATACCATTATATTCCATGGTTCCATGGTACAAGTAAAAAAGCAGCCAATAATAACTATTAAATTAGTCATTTTTGACTAATTCATTTTTAGAGAGTAGGTGAAAAACGTGGATTCAACCGGTTTTGCTTTAAAGTCAACTTTTAAATGTTATTTTAACATCGATATAGGGTTTTTTGGACCAAGTCACTCTAGTAGTCGATATAAATAAAGCAAAAGATGCGAAATTTACAAAAAAAAGATGTATCGAAAAAAATGTATATAAGTGATTTAGCTCGAATATTCCTTAATTGTTATTATTTTTTTTGTTTATTTTTCTATTTTTAGCTTAGGTAATATTGCGTAATATATTTGTTTATTAATTTATGTTTTTGGAAAATGGAGGATCGACAATACCGAACTTTTTCAAATTGTTTAAAACAAATTTGTGAATTTGTGTACATAATTAAAACATTTTATTAATATTAATATTTTAGCATAAATTTACCACCGCATAAACCTTAAAATGGCTTAAAATAATGTGTCCCTAATTTTGTCCGCGATTTTTGAAATTCCTCCCACTGTGTGGCGTTGCGACGCCTATTCTCCCTAAAACGGATGCTGTTTGAAGGATATTGTCTTTGACGTCAAGGACAAACAAATAAGGATTCCTATTTAACAAGAATCTTATAGGGTGTGAAATTTATTTAATTTATGTTTTCACATCATGTTATACTCAAAGGAAGTGATAAATATATTAAGAATGAGATTTTTTATTATTTTAAGTACCTACAAAACAAGAAAAATAATTTTTATCTTTGCTATGTTTAAATTAATTAAAAACCTATGATAAAATTTATTTATTTATTTAATGTAATGAAAGCTTTTAAAGAATATATCTGTCATTTAAAATTTATATAATCATAATTGTTGATACCTAATCATTTGTTTAAACTTTTTAATGTTTTAAAGTAATTCAAAAATAAAAAATCGAATTAGGCAACCCAGATCACAATTTTAGGAATTCTGTTTGCTTGTTCAGTAACTTAACCTCACTTACAACTGTCAATTTGTTTTGTTGTTTTCCCTGTAATTTTAACGAAATAAACCAAAATGATTGGTAATAGATATTTAAATAGGGTTTTTCTATCGGCAGACGTGTACGCTATATGCTTGCAACATGCTTTAACAACGGAAAAACAAGAAATAATGGGGTTACTCATAGGAGAGGTATTTTGTATTTTTATCTATATATGTGTGTTATAGGATTAATATTGTTTAAGGTTAACGAAGAGAATTGTACTTCGTATATTTCCGCATGTGTTATTCTACATAGAAGCGATAAACAACCTGATAGAGTTGAGATATCACCCGAGCAGCTTTGTACAGCCTCCGAACATGCTGAAATGTTGGCTAAAAAGTTGAATAGGCCTATGAGGGTGTTGGGTTGGTACCATTCGCATCCACATATCACTGTGTGGCCCAGTCATGTTGGTAAGTGTTTAAATTATTTTTTACAAACACACTATTATTTAATCTTTTTTCAGATATTCGTACTCAGGGCACTTACCAAATAATGGATCCCTTATTTGTGGGTTTAATTTTCTCCGTCTACCAAAATGATACCAACGCCAAAACGAATAAAGTCCAGTTAACTTGCTTTCAAGCTTCCAAAAGCCACAGTAATGATTTGGAACGCCGCAATGTGGAACTAATAATAAACAACACAAAATTTAACAACTACAACATGAAAGGTATCACAAACTTATCCAGGATTTTAATCCAGGAAGAAGTTGAGTCATACGATGTAGAAGATGGTAATAAGGATGTGTTAGCTTCATTGCATAATGATGCTTTTAAAACCATGGCATTAGCTCACATTGTTTCCAAGGTTTCCAGGCCTTTGTGTGATGATTTGGAGGAAAGGTTGAAGATGACAAACTTGAGGATAAATGAGTTACTTAAGTTGAAGAAGCAGTTAGAGTGTTAGGTAATGTTAAGAGTAGTTTTTAAGATGAAATATTATATAGATAAAATACTTAATAAAAAGGTTTTTTGTCCAAAATTTATTATCAGTAATTTGCAAACTTAAATAAATCAATCAATGTTAAATAATTTTTTTTTATACAGTGGTCTACTTAATTTGGCAACATATTGGAAACTTTCTTATTAATAATTTTACAAAAAAAGTTATTCTTTATTAAAAGTTCTGCATGTTATAAAATCTAAAATACAATCCCCAGATATCAATTTTTTTTTCAGTCACATACAAGGTTTGACAAAATATGAATTTGGTACCAGAGTAAAGTACCTTTATTTGTGACAATATTGAAAACTATGTTTCAATACGTAATTACATCACACTTAAAAAAAAATTACAATTTTTTCTCAAATTACCGATACCGAATATTTATTAATCATTTTTTTGTTAGTGCATCCTAGATTACATGTACATTGTTATTGTAAACAAAAAAGAAAAATGATTTTTTCCATGTAAATGAAAGTAATTGCATATTTGAACGTAGTTTTTAGTTCTGATCAACATTTTTTAATAAGAATTTTCGATATTGTAAATTTAAAGGTACTTTACTCTAAAATTAAAATTTTTTGACAAACCGCGTATACGACTGCAAAAGTTTGATATCTGATAGTATTTTGGATTTTAGAACATGAAGAATAACTTTTTTCTTAAAATTAATAATAGAAAAGTTTCCCATATGTTGCCACTGTTTATATATTTGCATTTTGTTTGATATTTACTTAAAGTAACATAAAAATACTAATTATGTAATTTTGATATTCAACTTAAATCGGTCAAATTCTAAAGCAATTTTTTAACAATTATTTTTTCAGGCCATTAGTTTTTTGTGTACACTTCCAGTGTTTATATTTTTGTATTATTTAGGTTCATGATAGTTAATAAGGAAATATATTTTTCAATAAAATATTTTGTACAAACTATAGAACTATGTAATATTGTAATATTTTTTACCAACTTTCCACAATCAGACTACACGTGTAGTACCTATCTGAAGGTTTTTGATGCGTTCATTGTTTTATAGAAAAAAAAAAAAATTTTTACGCAATTCAGCGCCGGATTATAAAATTTTGCGGCCCGGATCCAATAAAAATGTTCCGCCCCTACATATCTAATAAATTCAAAGAAATTTTACTTCTGAACAAAAGCATTTTATTTAACCATAATCATTTTGGTTGTACTATTTTTATGTATTTGAGTTTCAACAAAAAAAAGTTTTTAGAATTTTCTAAAACCAACCTTTTTTTCTCAAAATATTTGGCTTCTCACTACTTTTTTGTAGGTCGTATAGGAACATAATACAATTTTAGGTTGAAATAGTATTATTTGGTCGCTGAATTTAATTTAATTTCAACGTACAGTATCTTGCTTTTTAGATTTACGTTTTCTAGCCTGTCTTGCTTGAAAACCACTCAATTTCTTAGATAAACTTATGTTAACTAAATCGAGCCGTCAGGCGAGAGACGTAAATTATCAGAGTAAATAATGCGCGTTATTTCGAGTGTAATACCATGCTTTTTCTACTCCAATTTCAATTTTCATTGATAACAAAATTTATTATAACCTTACTTTTTTCGATTTTAAAGATCATTATAGTCGCCCCTCGTATATATAAACAAATGTGACATCTGTTAACCTTACTTTTTCCCAATGTAAAACCCGATTGGTTTAAATAACAGTGAATATTGAAATCAGCCAATCACTTATGCCTAACAACGTGAATAACGAGTTCAATTATTTACGAAAAAAACAAATAATGTCAATAATATATGAATATATGCTATAGGAGTAGAAAAATAATAATAATTTTTATTATACAAAGGGTTAATTAAGTATACCTACTGTTTTTTATGTTTAATTGACTAATACCTATAGTTTTAAACTAATAGTTGTTTGTAGTGTAAAAAAATATTCTTGTTAAAAAACCTTTACGCCCACATTGGTGAAAAAAAAATCAATTTCTGCAAACTATTAATAGATAATATGGCCACAATCACGGTTCTGATTTAAATAAAGTTTTTTATTAAAACTGATACAGTAGTTATTATTATTACCTACACGAAAAATAAAAAAGGAAAAAAGGTTAAAATAAAAAATTTACAAGTCAAAAATTTTGGCGCGATTTTCTTAAAAAGCTTGCGCCCCTAACTCCGGCGCTGGTGGTGTTTATAAAATTTTAAAATGCTCACCAATAAAAAAGTTTAGAATCAATAAAAAATATTTATCTCTTTAAAATTAATTACCTAAATTACGTTAATTACTTTAAAACCAAACATATTTATTAACAAAATTTTAAACATATTTAAACCCTTATGAAATCGCCGCCACTGAGCTAATTGAATTAAAATTTGTACAGGATCAAGATGAAAACCACAAAAATATGGTTAAAATTTCAAAATATCTGTTAGTTTTTTTATTGGATTTTGGCCACTTTTTTGGCATTCCAGTCCACTGTGCGGTGGGCTAGATCCTGACCTGTACGGAACCCACCTTTACCTGAGGCAATACCGTATGCATCCACACAATCGCAATAAGTTAAATATAGACAACCACCGTGATAGGAAGGTTCCACGTGGATCTCTGTTCCTATGTTAAAATCAACGGGAAGTGAACCACTATGGGACGGTGCATTATGTCGTTCTTTCACGGCCACAGGTAGACTGCATGCTGGCAATTGTCACACCCATTCATTAACACAACAACGAAATGTGCATTGCCGTTTCGCTGTAAATTATGCGCATGCCCAATTAAGTAAAGTACTACCTGTACAGGTTGCCCGGTAAAAATGTTATGCTCGCGCGAGAGAGTCAATGACCAAAGCTAGAATATGCTGGCTTTTACAGTTCTTCAAAGTAAATTCATCTGACCAGATGGTTCGTACTACGGAGTACCTACCTAGTAAATAATCCACGGAATCGTAACCATGTTCGCGATTAGATTACGATCGAATTCGCAGCTTTGAATCACTCGTGTCTCGTGTGGTGTACCTAAGTGTATTGTGGTGATTAATAACTAGTATGAGTGGCGAGGATAAACACACGAAAAAAATGCACGAGCTATTCATGCAAGTGCTGAAAAACAGGGATCTTTCCAGAGCCGGCGACCTCTTCTCTCTTCCCGATTCTGTTATTGTTAACGATCTCACAACTGTGGTAAGATAATCGAGCATATGTCAACAAACATTACATTGCGAAACAAAAAATATGTTCTTCTTTGTTTTGTCGTTATTTAATATCTGCACCGTTTGAAAAAACTAGATACCCAGTCGATTTTATGGGTGTTTTGTGTTTTGTTGAAACAACTTTATTTAAAAGACTTCAAATGGTGCATATATACAGTGTGTCTTCGAATTGACTAACAAGTCGGATTTTTTTATTTTTGTTTTTTCGAAGACAAGCTTTGTTTTTTATTTTGATCGTAATACGTTGTAATTAAAAACGAAGTGTGAATTCAAAACTTACGACGAAAATTATTAAGTTGATTTTTCCAAGATCGAGTTTATTTATATTTTTGATTCTTAGAAGAAAAGTAGTCCTTGCAAAATGCTTTGATTGCCAAAAAAATAACATTCAAGTAGTAACATTTGTGATTACAGGGTGTTAAAAATGTCTTGATTAGTTTTTTTTGTTTTTGTAACTTTTTAACACGGTAGGTATACTATAGTTAATGACTTTTCTTAGAACATCAAAAATAAACTCGATCCTGAAAAAAAAACAACAAAGAAAAATGTCCCCTATAATGTCTGTAATATTTTTTGTATTTGGACTTTTTTTCGTCATAAAATTTTAAAGAAAATGAATCGATTTTTTTTTTGTTAATTTTTGAACACCCTGTCGGTTTTTTTATGTCAATTTAAAACAGCTACAAGTGTTGCAATTCTTGCACAGTGTTGCCAGGTTTTAAGATATTTATTATTTTTGAGCATATTAGTTTTTAACATTCGTCCTAAATCTTCCACCTAAAAATTGCGTTAAAATTTACGGGAAATACAAAAAGTAGGTACTTTTCTATACCTGTTTTCAAAATATTGACATGAACTTATCATTATTTCCTAGAAAACATTATAACACATTATTCACACTTTGCGTGCTGCCTGTAGTAAAAGATAAGTATTTAATGTATAGTATAGTTTAATATTAATACATTAACACTTTCTGTTTATAAAAAATAATTCCACTTAATTTAGTAAATATTCCAAAGTAGATACAGTACAACAACCCAAATTAATAATTATTATTATTAAGGTCTTATTATTTAAAGCGTCACAAAAATTTTGTTAAGTGTTTGGTAAATTAAATACTTTAATTTCCAAAATAATTAAATTTGTAGTTGTTGTTACGCGGGTTACTCTATTTTTTTATAGATGTCGCTCCATACAAATATTTAATTTAAATAATTTTTAGATAATAATAAGTATTAGTCGGAGAAAAAGTATAATATGCAACTCGTTTATAAACTTTTCTAGAAATGGCGTTTATCAAACTTGATACATATGTATTATATAATATACCTACTATTATGAAGGTTAAATAGTCTTTGAATTAAAACAAAGACAAAAACGGTTTTTCTTTTGCAATACCATACCACAAAGCGTGGAATTCGCCGATTTAATAAGTTGTGAACCATTAAGCAAAGAAATCAGCAGAGAATCCATTAAACGCGGCCTGTTAGAGGACATTCTTCCTTGAAATGCGAGTAAATGGAAGAAGAAGAGAAGATGAAGAAACCTCAGAAATGTATCAAAGAGAAACTGAACAAAAACTTTTGTGGAAGATTAAGTCAACTGAAACCATAATCTATAGAAAATAGATTGGTGATTTGAAATCATAATAAAATTTAAATATCCTACATGCTTTTATATAAAACTATGAATATTTATGATAGGGAATGCCGATATAAACTGTTACATAACAGAATCGGTTATATTTAAATAAATCTGAATAATTGTTTACAAATTAAAGTTTGAAATCTGCAATGTAAATGCCCAATAATTAATGATTTGGCATTTATGCTCACATTAAGTAAATGTCAAGTTAAAAAATAGAATAAACACATTTAAAATTTAATATTTAATATTTGATTTCTTTTTTTTATTATAGATATTTAAATTTTGATGCATTTTTTAATGGAATTCCATTACTAATACTAAATTAGTTTTATTTGTAAGATGTCGCCTACATATATGTAGGGATATTTTCCTTTATAGCCTTCCTATAGGTAGGTGTTCTATAAGCAAATAATATAAATCAACAACTTTGTAACTTTGATATCAGTTATATTACTATACCAACATTTTAAAACAACATTTGTAAAAATTAAAACCCAAACTGTTTTAAATTGTTATAAAAATGTCTTTTTCTACTCCCACCTTTAAAACGCCCATAAGGCGCTTTAGTCATGGGCTAAAGTTAGCAACAGGTTTTTAGCCACGAGCTGAAGTTAGTTTTAAGTTGGTTAACTGTTGTCAAATGTCATAAAATCGTTAAAATAAAGTGCATTTTTTGTAAAATAATACTAAATGAAAATTATTTTATAAATAGTTTCTTGACGCCAATATTTGAAAATATTATATGAACGTTTTTACTGACCTTTTGATTTCGCCGTAGTAGTCAAGCTAACTAGATTTAACTGATGAAGCGTTACAATTTTTGCGTACAGTGCCCATTAAACATTCTCTTCTCTTTTATTGTAAAAAACTGCTTCTATATCGATTCTTTTCAAGGGATAAATTTTGACTTACACAGAAAAATTTGAGATTTTAACGCCGGGAATTCATATACTGTCACTTTTTGTACCTTTAACATATCCGTGGAAGAATTTTTAATACTTAGTGATAATATTTTGCAATTATAGTAATAAAAAAATTTAAAGGATAACATATTTTCTTAACATCATATTTTGAAGTTATTTTAATATTTTAAAGTCTCAATAATTGTTAGGTTTAATGTTAATGCTAAAAATTACGTCAAAAATGTTTATTGGGCTAAGTAACTTATATACTTTTTAAAGTAACTAAAATACTTTTTAAAGTAACTTAGATACTTTTCAGTTTCTTAAAGAAAATTGGGCGAATTCCTGAATGATTCAAAGTAATTACCTAACCTAAAACTTGTTGAATTTTCATAATTTTTTATTCAAACTTAAAAGTAACTTAGTTACTTAAAGGTATCTTATAAGATATCTAAAGATAACTCAAAGGTATCTTAGATACTTTCCAAAGTATCTTGTAACTAAAGATACTTTCAACTTAAAGCATCTAGTTACCCGAGGGTATTTTGTTTAAAGTATCTTAGAATAGTTACTAGATACTTTTCAGAAGTAACTTTCCCAGCTCTGATTGGGATGGTTACTTTATTTTCGTATACAGTGTGACCCATTTGTTTGCGACTCACCCCTGTAAAATCTTTATTTATTGTGCGATTTTAACCGGATTTGTTTTAAAGTGTAGATCTTGATAAACTGTATTTTTGGAGCCATATTAATACAAAATACAAGGCCTACTATGTCAGTTTTTAAGAGTAAATTTTAAAGAATTCATATTAGCGATTTTTTTAAACAAAATATAAGCACGGCACTGGATTCACCACCCCTCAAAACTATCCTATACTAAATTTTATTGAAAAATTTTAAGAAAAAAAATGCACAAAAATAACTACAAAAATTTATTTTGTCAAGTTATCCATGAGAAAAACATTGAAATAAAATTAAACTAATATTAACATGGTACTATTACCAAAATTTTAATTTTATTTCAATGTTTTTTCATGGATAACTTGACAAAATAAATTATTTTGTTATAATTCTGCATTTTTTTTCTTAAATTTTTTTAATAAAATTTAGTTTAGGGTAGTTTTGAAGGGTGGTGAATCCATGAAAAAATCGCTAATATGAATTCTTAAAAATTTACTCTTAAAAACTGACATAGTAGGCCTTGTATTTTGTAAAAATATGGCGTTTTTTGCTTCAAAAATACAGTTTATCAAGATCTACAGTTTAAAACAAATCCGGTTAAAATCGCACAATAAATAAAGATTTACAGGGGTGAGTCGCAAACAAATGGGTCACACTGTAGATGTCGCTTTATACAAATATTTAATTTAAATATTTTTTTTTAGATAATATTAAGTATTTGACGTAGAAACTCGTTTAGAAACTCATTTAATTAAGCACTAAAATTTATCGTTTATCAAACTTTATACATAATTTACTATTAAATTGTCTAAAATACCTTAAAACTCTGTTAAATGTGTCATTTCAGCTGTTAAACCTTTTGTTCATATTTCACAGCTAAAGGAAATCACATCTATAGCTTCTCTGCCTGGGTACGCGAGTTGCGACAATGACCAGAGTGTGGTCGAAATATGCATCACAAGGGTGATATCCTGTATAAGAGACACCGGAACTGTCGAAGAGCACTGCGAGGCGCTGGTCACTTTATTGGAGTCCTGTTTGCATCATAATTTACAAGTATCTGCAAGGGACGAGGATCCTCCGCATGCTAAGATCTCTAGCGATATCATTTCCTGTATATTTTTAGTAAGTCAGAATTTTATCAGTAGCATCAATTTATAGTTATATTTAGCCTCAAATATTATGAAATATATTTTTTAACTCTAATTTTATTAAATTTAAAAATAGATGTGTAATAATCATAAAGTTATTTAATAATTATAAGATAGATTTACTATATCTGATAACATTCTTGGTAAATTTAGATAAAATCTGTAGTAAATATTTGTATACTTATGAGGCGCCGTTTTATTTTTTATTCATGAATTATTCTTATACATAAAAAATATAATATAAAATATCATATAAGAATTTTTACTTTGCGAATTAAAAATATTATGCTACTATAGTAGATATTTAAAATGTAATGTATTTTTTAGTAAAAAACATATTATTAATCCGCTAAATTAAAAATATTAGTTTGGCATAAAAATTAATTTAAAAAAACAAATAAAAAAGTATCTTAGATAAAACTGGTTAACAGAATTAAATTTTTTGTTTGCACAGGGAAAACAATTTTTCCAGGGTAATTTGGGTTGGCAAATAACTCTAGACAAATTTTTGGTCACCCTGTGGTACAATTGCTGCTGACCAGTGTAATTAAATTAAAATTAATTCTCTAAACTTTTTATTAATTAACTTAAAATAATATAATTATTTAATTGTTTTAATTTTAGAATTATGGCAAAAAATCGGTCATGGAACGCGCTTTACCGGTGGCTGTCAAATTCTTACATAAAGGAAACAAAGAATTATCAAGAAATATGGCATCATATTTATCTCTGGCAGCTATGGAACACGCTAATCTACTTACACCACATGTTCAACCAATAATGGATTCTATTATATCAGGTTTATAACAAATTTAAAAATAATTTAACTGGTCTATGTACATATTTATAACTAAAAAATCATTTTATACCTTTCAATTTGATAAAAATTTTAAGGTCCATTTCGTATTTAACACCATGGAGTCTGCACAAGGACTCCGTACTACCATGCCCACTAAATTGCACAAATTAGGTCTTGTTTTTTCACCACCAGAGGCGCTGATTGTCGATGCGTACCACTATGCTCAAAAAGCAGCGTTTTGCGGAAAAAAATCAATAACTTTTTTATTACAAATAAATATTAATTTTTTTTCGTATAATTAACTATATTTTAATCGAAAATTTTAAAGGTTTTTTTTTAAATGCGTTTTTAGATAATTAAAAACACTGTTTTGCAGAAATAATTTACAAACTTTTTTATTAAAAATAAATATCAATTTTTTTCTTTTTTACTGTACAGTAATACATACTACCTATATAAGGATTATTACGAATAATTAACTATATTTCTATCAAAAAACATAAAGGTTTTTAATTTTTAAATGCGTTTTTAGATGTTCATAGAGCGTTAATTGCGATTTTTTTTTATTTTTTACTTTGTTAAATAAGACTTATTACGTATAATTAGCTATATTTTAATCATAAAACATAACGGCTTTTATTTTGTAAATGAGTTTTAGATGGTCCTAGAGCATCAGTTAAGGAAATAATCAAAAAACTTTTTTATTGCAAATAAAATTTAATTGTTTTATTTTTTTCCCAGTTAAATAAGACTTAAAAGGTATAATTAAGTATATTTTAATAAAAAAATAAAGGTTTTTATTTTTTAAATGCTACTTTTTATTGTAAATAAATACAATTTTTTAACTATCTTAACTTAGCCCACTTTAAGAAATAAACATAATTTGAATTTTAAAATTTATTCTATTAACTTCTTCATCAAGCTCATATTATACAAATTTTGTATTTCTCCTAAGTAGCGTTATTAGGGGGTCAGACGATATTAAAAGACAATGAAATATATCCTCGTTTGTTGATTTTCGATTTGTTTTTCTCGAAAACATATATCGAAATAATTTATGCACTGTCACTGGCATGTAGTACCATTGATAAAGACATACATACAGAAAGTACTCATTTTGAAAAATCACAAAATGCAATAGTCTAGGTTAAATTTGCTTTCGCTATATATGTAAAATATTATTACCTTATAAATGAGCGAATAATGTTTTACCTTATAGTTTTTAGCTTTAAAGATACAAAGCGAGGGATTAATTAATTAATACCTAATAATTTGTTATAAATAGGTAATTGATTATTAATCCTATAGGATAAGTATACAAAGCGAGGGATTAATTAATTAATACCTAATAATTTGTTATAAATAGGTAATTGATTATTAATCCTATAGGATAAGTATAGTTTGTATATATTTTTTAATAATATTAAAAAAAATTAATACATGTTAAAATATTTATAATAATTAATAAATTCAACTAACTTTTGAGCATAGATCTGTGAGTACGAAAATCTTGTACTTATAAAGTAAAGTTTACTGAACAACCTCATGTAAATATCATCGTTGAAATGCCTATAAGATTTTTGTTCTCTTAATTTTACCAATGTGTCTTTAAAACGTTATAACTTTTAATTTTTATTTTTTTTATTCAAATAGGAATTTTCATATATGTAGATTTAAGAGTAATTAAACCAAGGGTTAAAAAAGGTTAAAATATACATTTTTTTGTTCGATTAAAAGATATACCTAGTTTATTAAATGTGTGCGTAATTTTTTAGCAAATTTTACTGTTTTAAAAACATTCTTTGAGGTGTCATAAAATCAAAACATAATCATTTAAAAATAATTTTTTACCAAAATCTATTGCTTTAAGATGTTTTTAATTATCGTCATAAAAATGCCCAAAATAAAAAGTAGCGTTTCGGTACAAATAAAAATCAACAGAACACCAGCGCCCTCTTATCTTAGGAAGATTTTTGTATACATGAAGTTCGACCTCCTTGTGTAGGCTCCATGTTCAACAAGTTAATCTTCTGGTGTCTGTTAAAAAATATTTTAGACCTATGCTATTTTAGAAAATATAAAAATATTTTTTTAGGAAATTATCCTTTATGTAGGGTCCTTCCAAATATATATGAGGTCTCACCTGATCCATTTCAAGGACATGTTATGGCGCTTGTTTCGCTATTACCCCAATGTGATACACAGGAAAAACTGGCATTATTAAACCTATTCTCTCTTATTGCAAAAGATAATCCATCGGTAATAATAAAAATGAACACAGGTTTATGACCATGGTTTTGGAACTGAGCAGCCAAAAGGTCAAAGATCTGATTTCTTCTTGGTTCCAAAATTAATATTCGTAAACCTTTTCAAGCAAAGTAAAATTCTTCTACATTCTACATATCATATTTTTAGTTATTAGAGGCAAGCGTTCCACAGCTATGCGAGTACCTGAGTAACTCGGTGACCGCCTCGCCTACTCTTCAGATTTTCCTGAGGATGGCAGAAAAAAAGCCTGCTCTGTTGGCAGATCATATTAACGCCATGAAAGAGGTGGCGGAAAAACATCCGCACACAGTGTGTTTAGCTGCACAAGTGATAGGGGCTATCGGGAAGCTAAGTAAGGCAAGTACTACTCAGTATACGAGGTGTGTTCAGAAAATATCGGGAATTTTAGTTTTTTGAAACAAATATTTATTTATTCGTCTACATTAATGATGTCGCCTTCAAAATAGTCCCCATTGGATATTATGCACATGTGCCAGCTCTTCTTCCAATACTCGAAACACTTCTAAAACTCGATCTTTGGGATAGCCTTTAGTTCTTTCAGCGATGCGCTTTTAATGTCATCTATGCTTGCAAAACGACGGCCCTTTAAGGTTCTCTTAATTTTTGGAAATAGGAAAAAGTCAGACAGAGGCATGTCTGGCGAATATGGAGGCTGGGGCAACATTACAGTATTGTCTGCCACGCGTTTCATACCCAAAACATTAAAAAAAATTTCATGGGATGAGCCAATCGATATACCAACATCATCAGCGACTTTTTCCATGTTTTTATCGGTTGTTAATGTGCTTGTGCGTTCGGGGCGTTCGTCATCTTCAACGTCTTCACGGCCATCTTATACCACTTGTAAACTCTTGTTTTACTTATAGCAGACTCACTATAGGCCTTTGTTGACATTTCACAAAATTTATTTCATTTTTTAAGCAAAATTGGATACAAATTCTTTGATCCATTTCTTTTAACGAACCAAAAATCGGCGAGCTCATAAAACACGTCTAACCTTAGCGGCTGCCACAGACAAAGTAAACAATGAAAACAGCTTTTATCATACTTCGGGGGCATGCACAGAGAAAAGTAATCTCTTGATTTAAGAAAATGCATTTATTTGAAACAGTTTTTCTTGTATGAAGTAAAATTGTCTTATTCGTAGTAACTTCTTGTTTACAATAAGAAAATACTATTATTTGGTTGTAAATCATGAGTTTCTTGAAAACAACTTATTGTTGTGATTAATTGTAAAGAAATATTTATTTAGAGCAATTAATTAAATTGTTTGGATATAGGTTGTAGGGATTTAGTTTTATCAAATGTTAATACAAGCATATAATATCTTATTTTAACAAAATAATAGAATTGATACAAGTAAATGTTTTGTTTCTTTAAGTAAGATAAAAAGTCAACTAAATATTTACTTGTATTAAACAAACCATCAGTTTAAAAAGTCAAATAAACCCAAGTTTTCCACTAAATAAATATCTTCTTGTATCATATCGAAATAAATAATTTATTTGAGTCAAGACAGATATAGTAAAATCAAGAGATTACTTTTCTCTGTGTGTATACCAACATGTTAAAGAAAATTTTATGACAACCGGACCCTCCGAACCCGCGAAATTTAACAATTCCCGTTATTTTCTGAACACACCTCGTAATACCGCTATAATATTATTTTATGTTTTTTTATGAATTGTTTAGGATAAAGCCCAGGATGCCTTAAATTTCGTTCTCGAATGCCTGCCAAAAGCTGATAGAGGCTCACAAAGTACTCTGTTGAGAGAAGCTACATTGCTATGCAGCTCTTATCCTGTACTATTCACAGATAAAGTTCTGGTTGGGGTAAGGCAAAGAAATCATGCAAGGTAAGATACCACCAACACTAAAAAATAAAAAAATAATACTTGTTTCAATTACCTCTTAGTACAAATCACATAAATTCAACAACTCAACAAAATCAAATAGTATCCGGCGGAGTAACGATTGTTAAAGTTGGGGGTTTTCATCAAAATCAGCAGCAAGGTTACACAAGGAGGCCCAAGTTGGGCGATTCTAGGAGCACTGGGAGGCTACATACTCCCTCCAATGCTAACACGCATAGGAGCATGACAAGGCTTAACATTACAAGTAAGTACACTCACAGGCAAAATAATCGATCCACACAAATTTTCCATGAATTTCAATCGCAAATAACTTTTTTATTTGATTTCGGATTTATACAAATATTAAAGAATATTGTAGATACATTAATGGAGAATCGCTCACATTTTAAAAATTACTAAAAAATAGACGTACTTTTATAATATACAGGTTTAAACAAAAAAAATGTTTTTTACCATAAGTTTAAGACACTCTGTAGAGTGGCAAAACCGTATATTGTTCTAAATTAAGTTTTAATTATCAAGTCACATCTATTTTTAACAGTTTTGTTTTTGGTTCACCTTGATATATTTATTTTTGTGGAAAATATGGATTTTTTTTATAAAAACATTGCAATTTCCAATATTTTTCCTGTATAAAGAACTAAGGTTGCTATGGTCCATCCATAGCCTATGGAGGATGACAGTGACAGTTTTGTTTAATCATCCCATACTTGGACATGTCATATACAGCTTTCAAAAGCTATCAAATTGTTTTTTGTAAATTAATGTGTTAATTTTGAGGTGTCTTCTTACTTTTAAAAATGTCTCCGACTGATGTTGCCCTTTCTACTTTACTTCTTGTGGCGTTTAAAACACTTGCCACGTAATACTGTGACCGTCCATCCTGGATTAAATTAATGGCTCTGGCAACATCAGTCGGAGACATATCCATTTTTTAAAGTAAGAAGACACCTCAAAAGTTAAACATTAATTTACAAAAAACAATTTGATAGCTTTTGAAAGCCGTGTATGACATGTCCAAGTATGAGATGATTCATCAAATCATAGCAACCTTAGTTCTTCATACAGAAAAAATATTGGAAATTGCAATGTTTTTTTTAAAAAATCCATATTTTCCACAAAAATAAATATATCGAGGTGAATCAAAAACAAAACTGTTAAGAATAGATGTGACTTCATAAATAAAACTTAATTTAGTACAATATACGGTTTTGCCACTCTACAGAGTGTCTTAAACTTATGGTAAAAAATATATTTTTGTTTAAACCTGTATATTATAAACGTACGTCTATTTTTTAGTAATTTTTTAAACTATGAGCATTGTCCATTAATTTATCTACAATATTCTTTAATATTCGTTTAAAAGTTATTTGCGATTGAAATTCATCGAAAATTTGTGTGGATCGATTATTTTGCCTGTGAGAGTATTTTCATTTAAAAAAGCCAAACTGACAAAAAGCTAAAACTCAATATTTCTGCAACGTTACGTTTTTTAAGGCGGTTCAATTGGAGGTCTCCACAAGAGCATGACCAGGCTAAGTTCTTCCCAGCAAATCAACACCCTATCAAATCATTCCGGCACCATACCAAGCAATAGTAACGTTATAGTTACCAACAGTAACAAATGGACAGCCGTTAATAACCACGTATCCAGTGGTGGGGTAACGGTTACGACGATATCACCTCCAAAAATCCAAAGGCCACTCAGCCAGGGGCCTTTGACTTTTTCCAATAGTCAGAATCAGGTGAGAGAAACATTTTTTTTGTTAGATAAGATAGTTCAAACCCAGCAAACACATAAGTCTGATTATAATTATAATTAATTAATTATAATTATAAATGTCCCATTACATAGTTTCATGGCTTAATAATAATTTTTAAAGGAATGTTCATTAAAAATATTAATTTTAATCACGATTTAAATCAACGATTTAAATTAAATGATTTTTTAATTTTAATCAATGATTTAAATCAGTTTTAAAAAAAGTTTCTAAAATCTTAAAAAAACTTAAATGATCTAAAACTAAAGTACACTTAATTAAAAAAAGCTTATAATTTTGAATACTTTAGGTCATGAAAAGTGTTTTCCTTCCTGGGAAATTTTTTTAAAAAGGTTTAAAAGGTATGTGTTGTTTTGAAAATTTTAATATGGAAGCCCATGTTAAATATTAAAAAAAACTGAAATAAAAAGGGGAAAAAAGGTTACACTAAACAAATATTTATTATTATTTTGTTTTTTTAATACCTTAAATATACCACATGATGTGGTCCACATCACAATATTCAAAATTAAAAAAATCGCAATGAAAATAAAAAAAAATGATTTTTTGTTGATTTTTTTCCCCCAAGTAAAAATTATTATTTTTTATTTTTGGTTGTTTCACTATTAGTCTAGAATGGGGTTTTTGGGAAGCCACCAGGTCCAGTAATAACATAACATAAGTGGTTCTGCACTAATGCAAAAATTATAAGAAATCATACATTTTCAATATTAGAGCTTCTCGGCGGTTGGGATTTCGTATGTTTTTTTTAAATCCCTTTGTATATTTGAAATAAGTTATTGTATCTTTTGACACCTTAATATTTTTTAAAAATACAATCTTACATACATAAAATATTTATAAAAAAACTACTTACTGAGATATTACACTTCACGGTGGATAGGTTTTTAAATAGCAACTTAATGAACTTAAACTTTTGAATTATAAAACAGCAACACTCTTATCTGCATATAAATTCTAACTGACCTTCAGGAATCACATGCATCTATAATGTCGTAAACGGAGGTTTTTGCTTATTTAAAATGATTAAAGCGCCATCCGTTGCATAAAATTTAAAGCAAAAACAGATTCGCGATGGATAGAATCAATTTTTGTAACACCTACATAAATTGTTATAAAAATTATATTTACTTTTTAATAATATTTTATATTTGATTCGATTGCTTTGGACTGGTATTTTTAGTATGCTTTTACTACCTCAGATATTTGAAAACATATAGGTTAACCTAGAAAGAGTCACGGAGGATAGGTTTTAGACTTTTAAAACATTGTAAAAAATAATTAATTGCGGTTAAACATCTGGAACCTGAGCTGTAATATCTACTTAATTAGGAAAGATCAAAACACAATAAAAGTGTATGTCAAACTCATTCAGGGGTAACACCATCAGGGGACATTTCGTGAGATTCACCATTATATACCCCATAAAAAAATAATACCTAATGGTTGTTAAATTTAAGTAAGTAAGTAGGTGCATTTTAAATTTAAATTTTTTGTAAATTTATGAATGTTTTTAAATAACAACTATAGAATCTTTAACACCCCATATAACATTGCCACATTTGTACCTTTAATTTGCCATATCAGAACCTTTAGCGCACCATAAAAAATGGAATGGTTTGCTGGGAATGAACTGTATTGAATTTCTGTTATTAAAAAGAACTAGACAAATTAGTATGAAACTTTTTTCGAATTAGGAGTTCAAATAGTATTTCAATAAAGACTTGTTGTCGCCAAGATTTTTAAGAAAACAAGTTAACATGTTTATTATTTTGTCTCATTGTTTTTAGTCTTCTGTTTGTCCCCTATTGCTCACTCCCCCTCATCTAAGAAACAGCAATTCCGTAACGGTTAGTTCAGGATATACAGGGCCGATTTCAAGTGGACAAGTTTCTGTATTAACCACAGGACATAACCATGTTAACACTCAAACCATACCGGTGGGGCCAACGTTAAGAAATCATTCTCCACCATTATCTGAATCTTTATTACCAATATCAAGGCATGAAGCTATGAACACCGGAAGTGGTAAGTTGCAGCTGCACATTCTAGATTGTCAACGTCAAATTTTATTAGAAAAAATGTATTGATAACATTTAATAAGTACTATGCTCCACACCTCAAAGTCCCACCACGTGACCACGTACGGAACGCAGTCTTTTGAAAATTTGGCATTTAAGGCTTTTCAGGTTATGTATCTGTCAAAGTATAGTCAATGAAAGAAATAATATTTATAGTGTTACCGCTTATGTTTAAGCGTTAAAAGTTAATAAATCTTTATAGTATCACAATAACAATGGTTGGTTTAAGAATTTAGGAATATAAATACTGCATTTAATGAAATTCCAAAGTGTAAGGTGCAATATATGTAAGTGATATTTTTGTGCATTGGGTCTACATTTCTCCATAAAATAGTTTTAACTAAACAGCATTTATTAAAAAAATCTAACTTCTCTATTATGAAATAAGAATATCTGTATCAAAGGTAGGTTAATGTATTAGAACAAAAAATATCACCTAATTTTGTATTTTAAGGTTAGAAAAATCTATTTTGACCAAAATAAATAAGTGGATTATTTGGAAGAGTGTGTTAATATGGTCATAAATAAATATAGGTATAATAAATAATTGTTAAATGTGGTTCAAATTAAATTGAAGCTTTTATACTTCTAATGACAAAACTTGTGCATACCTCTCGGCATACCTACTTTAAGTTAGATTATAAGAAAACAAACAATTTTTAGAGAAACTTGCAATATGTAAATATTTAATACTCCCATGACATGTGATTTATTAAAATTTTTAAAATTATAATGATTTTTGGATGTAGATCAAGTTCAGTCGAAGCTTTTTAACTATTTGTATTGACAAAACTTTATGTAGGTACACTTTAAGCTGGATAAGAAAAAGTACCACATTTTTAAATACCATATTATACAGTCTTTTAAATAATCCAAAATACTTATTTATTTTGGTCAAAATAAATTTTTCCAAAATTACAAAATTAGATAATATTTTTGTTGTAATATATTAACCTACCTTTAAAACAGATATTCTTATTCCATAATAGAGAAGCTAAATTTTTTTTAATAAATGCTGTTTAGTTAAAATTATTTTATGGAGAAAACCAGATATTTGGACCAAATGCACAAAAATATTACTTATTTGGCACCATACACTTTGGAATTTTATTAAATGCAGTATTTATATTCTTAAATTTTTAAACCATCCATTGTTATAGTAATGTTATAAAGATTTATACATTTTTAACGCCTAAACATAATATTATTTCTTTCGTTGACTATACTTTGACAGATACATAACCTGAAAAGCCTTAAATGCCAAATTTTCAAAAGACTGCGTTCCGTATGTGGTCACGTGGTGGCACTTTGAGGTGTGGAGCATAGTACTTTCTTTATATTATTTGTTTTTATTGCCGGCAATGTTTTTGATTGTTGCGGAAGAACTCTATCATTTTGACTTAACTCTTAAGAACAATTGTTTTATATTTTTTAAAGGAAACGTGAACATAAGCGGCCCTACCACAGTTATAGCACGCAGGGCCAATAACACTACTGTTACTTTACTAAATTCCGAGAACCAACGTATGAGCGTTTTTGAGCCTTATCCGATGAGAGATACCATCCAGCATTTCTGCGAAAAGCATCTCGATAAAATTAAATCCTACATGGAAAAAGTATCGCTACGAATGCCATCGCCGGCCAAATGCACCATAGAAGAAAAACGACAGAAGAAGTCCGCCAAACTGCATTTCGCTTGTCAAAGCAGAGGGCAGCACTGTCTGTACTCGAAGACTTATTTTACAATGAGGACGAGGAATCCCAAGATTTGGATCCATTTGATGTTTATATCATTGCAGGTGAGTGATATTTTATTATTGGTGTAAACAGCTTACGGATCATAGAAGCATTCGTTTTTTAAGAGGGGGGAATAATTCTAGTCACCCACTCACTGGCGCTGGGTGGTAAGTAGGGTTGGGACAGTTGAAAGTTTCAAACTTGAAATATTTCATTTAGTTGGAAAAGTGAAATTTTTAAAAATTTCAAATGATATTTTCAATCCGAAAATTTCAACATTGCCTGTGAAAGTTTCAGAAATTTCATTGAAAGTTTCGCAATTTACTGAAAATTTCGCATAAATTTCACATGCGGCCCTGGGACCTTTAATAATAATTTACAACAGATTCCGAATCGACCAATAAGAACGAGTTATCAAGCGTCTGGGCGTTTTTGTTTAGTTCGGCTTGGATTTGAATACACTATAAGTAATTATTGTTACTTATATGCATAAATTAATTTAAATAATTTAATTCAGTTACCAATTAAATTTGTAAATTAAATCAGACTTTAAAATTTTTTTAAATGACACCCAAATAGCATTTTCATTAGAGCTTCGCGACTCCCGACCAAATTTGTACTAGAACCAACGTCGGTCATTGTGCAAATCAAAGTTGTTTTCGAACTTCTAATATAAAGTTGCAAAAAGTCGTCCAGACGACGACTGCACAACGTCTGCGACTATAACACCTATAGAGTGTTATAATCTGTCCACTGATGACGTCCGCGCAACGTTTAAATATATGTAGGAAATATTACTGGAGTACGGCAACGATGGTCCGACGTTGGCTTCTTTCCCTCGAAGGCAACGTTGTGAAGTAGTGCAAATGGGACGTCGGACTGTAGGTCAAAAATGTGTTGTTTTGTTTATTTTTCTATGGTTGAAAGTGAGGTTATGGCCTAGACCTAGGGGTTATAGTTGCGTTGCGTTTTTCTATCTTGCGTTTGTTGCAGAGACAAGTTGTCTATATATGGGTCTATGGGCCAATATAAAACCCCATTTTCCTCCCATTGATGGGGTACCGGCTCGACTTCCCCTAGATCTTTTATTTGAACAACTTTAAAATGATGTTCGCCCATTTTTTGTGCAAAACAGACACAGCCAACAAAGAATTAATCAACAAACAAGTCACCATCCAAAATAAGTAAGGTTAGAAATAAAGAAGCCTTATTTAAGAAGGTTACTATTTTTAGTCATGTGATAGTTGTGTCTACAGACCCGAAACGACGTTGGGGCAAATAAGTCGGACCGACGTAGTAATGTAATACGAAGGGTGCACCGCGGTCGGAAATGGTGCGCGCTTTAAGACTTGGTTGTCCTCTTGGTCCAAATAAGTAATGAAACAGTAAAAATTTATAGACACTTCGTCGGAGTACGGTTAAATATCTGGAGTTTCCCAACTACGCCATTTTTATATCATCCATATTTGCAACTCGAGTAATGATCATCACAAATATTCACTTTTACCCATTGAATGTTTAAAATAAAGTTAAAAATTATGTCTCGTAGTTTTTAGTTAATTCTTAAAGATGTTTTGGTGCATTTTCATATGATATCTGCACAAAAAAAATATGTTTATTTTTTTTTCTTCCGAAAAAAATTGTTAATTTAAATATTTCTTAGAGGGCATTAATTTTTTTCGATCCACCTCGGTCACATTCATCAGTAAAGTGACCTGTGTTTGTATTTTTCAAGAATCTCTCTACGATACAATTCCATTCTTAACGAAAATAATATCTATAAATTAGTTAGTGTAAGCGACATGATTGTTTCGTTTGTATGGATGATTGTTTGATGCCATGATGCCATCTGTTGGGTAAAATATATTCGTACTCTATGATTACACAATGTTAATCAAGAGGGCGCTAATCACTAGCGGCCAGTGTTAGAAAGGTCGTCCCGAGTATATTGTTTTGGAACAAGACGACGTCGGGAGAGTCGTCCAAACCGACGTTGAATTTAGTAAGGAATTCTTTCTTAATCCGACGTCGCGTCCGACGTCGTACCGACCAGGATTTTTATTCCCCATTTTGGTGCAGATTCAAGTAAATACGTAGTCGCGCAGACGTTGTGTACCGACGTCGGGTTGTTATAAGCGACGTTGGCCGGACGTCCAAATGCTATTTGGGCATGATTAATTTAAACTTTTACTTTTGCTATAATTGTATCGGAAAACGGATAAAAAATGCCTTTGGCTAATAAAATTTTGATGAAGTTTCTTCAATTTTCGTAAAATTTCAGTAAAATATATAAAAATAATAAATATATATAAATATAAAACAATGAAAGTGGCACAATCTCATTAGCTTACCAAAAAGTGCTATATCTCTTTTAGTTTTAATAATTTTAAAAATATTTTAAAAGGAAATCTCAAGAAATTTGTGGTAAACCTAGGTATTTACTATTTATATTATTGGTGCAGGGGCCCACAGAGGGGTAGGAGGTACGAGAGGCAATTTGCCATGGTTCCCGAGTGGGCTTATTTCAATATCAATATATTACACTTAAAGTGATTGAAATTTATTGAAAGTTTCAATAAATTTCATAAAATTTCAGAAATTTATGAAATTTTAATAAATCTCATAAATGTCATGAAAATTTCAAGTGAAATTTCAAGTACAAGAAAAAAGTGAAATTTTCCCAACCCAACTTAATTATATCATTATGAATGAAAGACAGCATATTTGTTAATTTAGGAAATGGTTTAACAGATAATGATTTAAAAAAATAGATTTATTATATTTAATCAACAATATAGATTTTTAACTGTGTAAGGTTATGTTACCTATAAAAGGTTATTTTACCTGTGAAAAGTTATTCCAAGCTCTTTATTCTCGCCAATATAACATATATAACTTTCACAAACCAACACAGAACAAACCACCATTGTATTTTAACTAAAAGACACAAAACAAACTTGTCGCTTTGAGGTTATGATTGGTTCAATTTTTTAACGCTTACTTCCTATACACAACGTACTCGTCTACTATTTTATATGTCTATGATCCCGGCGCATTCGCCATTTTTGAAAAACATCCCAAATGCATCATCTTAGTATTTTTTTCTTTTTTGTTACACATAAAAAATCTAACATAGTACCAAGAACAGCGCTGTCATTAAATGCATTAAAATTGAAGCAATCTAAATTGTTATTTGCTCAATTAATTACTATTAAACCAAAATAGAAAAATATTTTGCCTAAATGTCAAAGAATTTATTGCGTTAAATGTATACATAGTATACATACAATAGTAACGTTATTAAATAAATCAAATTAGTATTTAATGCAATAACATTCTAACAAATAAATATCAATATGAATATCAATACATTTAGGAGCGATAACTTTTGTTGTTAATTTAAAAACAGTAAACGATTATAAACCAAGTGCTAACTACCTATTGGTATTATAGGAACTGTTACTCAGGAATACGGATTACAAGATCCCATTGGTTTAATGGCTCACCCATTCATGCTATGCTAGCGTTTTTTCTGTGTAAAAATAAAATACAAAGGAAATACTTCTTTTTAATATTATTAACCTTTCATAAAGACAACTTTTAAGTTTTGTTTGTATATAATATGTTTTGTTATATGCATAACCATGTTTAAAGTCAGCTTTATATTTAAATTATAAATGAAATTTAACATACTATACAATCATTATTGCAAAGCAAATCCAATTAACTTTTCATAATAGGTATTATTTACCTTTACCTTTAAAACGCCCTTTATCGTACATGTTTCCATGACACTAAGTGACCTTTTAAATACACATTGACAAGTTGTGGCTTTACGGCGCTTTAGTCACGGGCTAAAGTTAGCAACAGGTTTTTAGTCACGGGCTGAAGTTAGTTTTAAGTTAGTTGACAGTTGTCAAATGTCATACAATCGTTAAAATAAAGTGCCTTTCTTGTAAAATAATACTAAATGTGAAAATTATTTTATTATCTCAATACAAAAATACAAAAATATTAAATAGTTTCTCAACGCCAATATTTAAAAAGTTTATATGAACATTGTACTGACCTTTTAATTTCGCCGGCAGTAAACTATAATTTTAATTCGGGCACGGACTCTACTGTAAAGTCCTCATAAAACATTTCCCTTACTTTCACTGTGAAAAACTGTCAATTTTCAAGATACATTTCGATTTATAACCTTTATAATTGTGTTTATAAAATGTAAAAATGTGACATTTGACAGTTTTCCCTGTTGTTTCATAGATGGCGCTATATACAAATTTTTGATTTAAATCATTTTAAGATAATAATAAGTATTTGTCGTAGAAAAAGTATAGTATGCACCTCGTTTATAAACTTTTCTATACACTCAATAATTTAAGAACTCCTGCCTAAATTAAATTCGTGTATAAAATGGCGTTTATCAAACTTGATACATAATATACTATTATCTTCAATCGGACTATAAATTAAACTTTATTGTTGTCATCACTCGACCTAAATTTAGGTGATTTATTATGAACCGACCAAGAAGACAGAAGTACAGGAGGAGTAACTTGCTACGTAATCTTAAAAGTCCCACCTTGACATTTGAATACAAATAATTGAGGTTAACTATCTGTCACTTTAACGCTAATTTTGTCTTATTTTCTGAAATTTTCAACTGTTAAAATGCCACCTAGATACTTGATGGGCGTATACAAAATATAAAAATTTCACCTTTTGTTTTCAGGCAAGGCACTCTCACGCTTTAAGCTCAAGGGACGCCCAAGTCGCGAGCTTGAAACATTGCTGGGACATACTAAAATGCGAAAACAAAACCTTCCTGACCGTCGTGACCAGCGCTTTCCCTTGCACAAAGGACCAAGACATTCTTTTAAACGAACTGAGATCTTCAGGATATTTCGATGTGTTCCAAATTTGCCCGAACGGTTCAGAAGATCCTATCGATAATGGAATGAATTTGAAGTGGGGGTGTTTTCTTTGTGCGCATCCCGAGAGGGCCGTTGGATTCTTAAGAGGTAACGTCACAAAAATAAATAAAAAACTATAAACTACAACTTTAAATTAAAGATACATATGAGTTGCGTTCTTAAAATTCAATTTGTTTTTAAAAAAACATAATATTGTAATTTTAATTTTGTTTTTATATCAAAGCGTAAAAAAATTATAAGTCTACTTGCATATAAAAGAGGACATTATTTTTTAAACCCGTGCTTTTTATTCAGTTCTTTCATTATTCGACGTAATTTAAATAAAGTTATGGGGGGTTTACAATGCTTAAGGGTGAATAATATTATGTGGATTTTTTTATTTAACTTCATTTTATATTTAACTTACATATTTACAATACAGGATGATTCAAAAACCATCGTCCCAGTAGTAATGCAATGTAAAAGACCTCAAACTTCCAAAGAATAGACGTTCAAAAATGATGGAATTTATTATTGTCAATCATTGGTATTCTTGCCAATATCTTTTTTATTGTTAGGTGATATTAATGATAAAAACAATGAATCAATTTGTACCAAAACCAAAGAAAATGAAAATAATTTTTAAGAGGTATTTTTACAAGGCGCAAAAAGTTGTCTAGTATACTAATATATGTAACTTCAAATAATCAAAAAAGGCAAAAAGATTTTTTTTACAGTTTTCACCGAAATCAATGAGACCCGTATTTTTTCTTTTGGCTTAAATTTGTTTTGTTCAATCAAAATAAGTGAAAATGCAAAGGGTGTTTCATTAAAAAATAAAAAGTTAAAAAATATGTCAAAAAGTTCTAAATTACCCCAGGTTCATGACCCTTGATAAAATGAATGAATCACGAATTTACTAGAAAATAGTAGGCATTTTCATTAAAAAAGATTCACGGAGGATAGAATCAATTTTTGTAAAACCTACATAAATGGTTATAAAAATTATTTTTTTAATTTTTAATAATATTTTATATTTGATTCGATTGCTTTGGATGTGTTTAATTTGTAAACTGAAAGTTTTAGTATGCTTTTACTACCTCAGATATTTAAAAACATATAGGTTTTAGACTTAAAAAAAAATAATTAATGGCGGTTAAATATCTACTTAATTATGAAAGATCAAAACACAATACAAGTGTAGGTCAAACTCATTTAGTTTTATTAAATATCACGGGGCACACCACGACCTACCCCTTTTTGAGATGAAAATGCTCTATATTATTATAATTTCTTGAAGGAGACTCAGCTCAGCCTGTAATAGAAGGACAATTAAAAGAGAAAAAAGGACGATGGCGGTTATTTAGAAGATGGCGAACAAGATATTTCACTTTATCAGGGGCACACCTTTCTTGTAGAGGATCCGTAAGTAGAAACCTTGGACTAAAAAGTGGGTAGACGGCAAAATAACGCTCCATCTCCCACTATTTATTCTAACCCTGATAGCAAAATTTGATTTTAAGAATCTTCTAAGAAGATATGACCCGGAATAATGGAATATTCTTAGAACCTTTCCTTATTGCTAAGAATGTTCTTAGGGACTTTTAAAACATTCAATATTAATGATGCAATTAGATTCTTAAAAGCTTCTTAAAACCTTCCTAAAAAGAATCCTAAGAACATTTTAAGAATACGATTTTGGAATGTTATTAAAAGGTTTCTTATGGAGCTTCTAGGAAGCTTTTGAGAATATTTCCAAGTATGTCAGATACCCACGTTCTAATATGTTGTATTCTTCATTCGTAAAATTCTTCAGGAGACAAATACGCCTCACTGTCATAATATGACAGTGAAATGTATTTGTCGTCCCCTTAAATTTTGCGACATATTAATATATATTTATTTAAAAATATTAAATAAACAATTTGACCTTTAAACCATAAGTTTATGACATTATTTTATAAAAAGTAAAATTGGAAAATTTTGTGGGATAAGTCAGATTAGATTGAAGTTGAAGATAGGATAGGATCATATACATAAAAATGTTAATTCAGAAATAAAAAATCGGTATACAAATTAATAAATATTTATTTTTACATAAAATAAAATAACTATAGTAAAAGTATTTTTGTTATCGAATATTGTTTTAATTTGACAAATAACTATAAATAAATATTTTGGATTGTGTTTTTTACTTAGTATTTAATACTAATTACTAATTAGGTACTTAAGTATAGGTATATACTAGGGTGTTTCAAAAAAACCTTTTTTTTGTTTTTTTTCTCGGAACCACGCTCAAAAGTTTCGTATAGATAAAAAAATGAGCCTGTGAAAAAATGAGCTCTTAATTTCAAAATTAAGATGCTCCGCATCGCACTTTTCGATTTTCCATAAGAATAACATAGGAAAAATTATTTTTGTTTCTTTTTATTTTTGTAACTAACGAACAATAAGTCGTACTATAAAGTTCTTGACATATTTTTGTAGAGAATTTAACGCTCTACAAAAAAGGTTTTTTTATGATTTTTTGATAAATTTTTTATTTTATTCTTATGGAAAATCGAAAAGTGCGATGCGGAACATTTTAATTTTGAAATTAAGAGCTCATTTTTTCACAGGCTCATTTTTATATCTATACGAAACTTTTGAGCGTGGTTCCGAGAAAAAAAACAAAAAAAAGGTTTTTTTGAAACACCCTACTATATACCTTTATACGTAGTTTATGGTATATTTTACTATTATATAGGTAATTGAACTAAATATGCTTGACAGGAATATTCCTAAATGAACTTTCTATAGCAGTTACTTTCTTAACATTCTAAGCATATGTTTAGAGTAGACTAATTTTTACCACTAAAACTTTGCACCTTCTAAGAACCTGCCTAGGATCATGCTATATGTCTTTTAAGCATGTTCTTTAGAAGAAATATAGCATGATCCTAAGAATATTCTCACTGGAAGGTTTAAAAAACATTCTTAGAACAAGTGTGCTATCAGGGAAGGTACCAAAATAAAAATCTTTTTGCTCTTCTAAATTCAGAGTGGAGGGGAGTCCATCGACGTGAACCAGATTCGTTCGGTGAAAGTGTCGAGAGGTGCCAGAAACATACCGAAAGCTTTCGAGATTTTCACCGGCAACCAGACGTTGATTTTGAAGCCCAAGGACGGAAAGAACGCCGAAGAGTGGGTGCAGTGTTTGAATATAGTTGTGGCGCACTCTCACGCCAAGGAAATACCCGGGAAAAGCAACTCTTTACCAGCGAGAGGCATAAATTCTAGTCGGACAGTTATTTAATGATGAACGTTGTGTTTTTTGGGAAGCATGTTTTATTTTTTGCATATTAATTTTCACAGAAGTTTGAGGGATCTAAAAAATTGACAAAAGCCAACAAAGGTTTCTTTGAGGTAAGTTACATTTAACAATTCCATCACCTTTGTGAATTTTTTTATTAATAATTATTATATTTTTAAATCGTTATATTTTAAAAACATTCTTTTATGTGCAAAAATTAAAACACTTCACAACTTTTGTAAAACAAAAATTACATGTTGTATACTTACAATGCAGAACGATATTTCGTTAACATTAAGGCACTTTAAATCACATTTATTTTTGTATATTTTTATTGTTACTTTGTTTATATTTTATACTCAGTTGTAAAACAAATAAAATATTTTATTCACTTACACTCGTATTTTTATTGATGAAATAGTAGACCCAGTAACAAAAGTATTTGTTGGAAAAGTATTTGTTGGAAATTGAAAAAAAATGTTGCTTTATTAATTAATTTCCTAAACAAAAAAATTGAAATCATCAACTTACTGATGTTTTTCGTAACCTTAACCCACTTCACTATATTCCCTAATTTCAGTTTGAAAACCAGTAATGGCATCTTTTTTCGGTTACTTCGCACTTTGCATACTTGTTAAATGGGTATAAGGAATCCGAATAACAATAATAACAAATTTATTATGAACACTTTACGAAAGTAAGCAGAAACATAAGTTGAAGACGCTGAAATCAGTTAAACTTGTTGATGTGTATTGCCAGTTGGAAATGTTTTGATTAACTGTCTGAATCTGTAACCTTTGAAATTAACAAAATGATTACAAAATTGTATATTACACTTACAAAACTTTCGGTAAAATATTTTCCTTTGTTAAAATATTTACAAACCCTGGTTTTCTAGAAAATATTATGTTATAATTTTACAAAATAAAATTCACAAACTACAAACTCATGTTAACAAATCTATTATATTATTTTTATTTTTTATTTATTTATTCTCAAACAAACACAATATAAAATTGTTGTTACATGTAAGAGTGCCTATACCCTAAGTTATATATATTATATATATTATACTGTTTGACAAAATGAGATTTGTCACAGGGTGGCCAAAAACTTTTTAATTTGGGTAGGCTGACTTAAAAAATGACCATAATTTTTTTTTATTGTTTTTGCGATATTCTGAAAAAACCGTTTTTTGACATGCAATTCGTATGTATATTTTATTAATCAAATACTTTAACCGAGGATAATTGGTAATGTAGCTAATTAAACTAAAACACAAACAATTTGAATAAAATTTATAAAATATTGTATCTTCATCTTTTTACTTTATTCTGTTAAAATTTTAACGGAATAAAATATAAATTGCTTAAATGTCACTCAAAACAACCGCGCGTGTCAAAATGTATATTTTCGGTTATTTTCGCTTGTACAACTTTTAAAAAATTTCTGAGAACAACAATAATTCATAAATGCTTAACTATCTAATTTATCATAAAAAATCATGCTTGCCATTTTAATTTTGTTAAAAAAGGAGCCAATCTTTACTCATTAAATCCTTAAATTATGCAAAAATTTATAATGAAAGCTGTTGTTTTAAAAGTCATCAATAAATAAAATGTTCTTGAACCCTTGATTTGAAATATTTCGATGGAGCAAGGTTCAAATTAATTAAAAGCTTTAGTATCAAACGCATATCCAAATCATTTTAATTCGTAAAATTGTTATTTGGAATTCTGTATTTAATCCTTTGGCTAAGTTCTCCCTTTCACAAATTGATCGTTAAATACGACAGCTGCAAAATATTTAGATTTTCGTTTCATTCGTAGGATTTTTTAATTTAGGAATTCTGGTTTTATATTTCGTTTATACCTTCTTTTTTTTTAAATTTTTTACGTTTTTTATTAATTCTCAAATAAATAAAGGTTCCTTTTGGACCACCTTGTATAGCTTAATCTCGGCACATTCACCATTTTTGAAAATACAAAAAATGTAAAAAACTCTTCGATTTAATTCCAAATTTAGTTTTTCATTCAGCTTAGAAACTTTAACGTTCCATCATAACCCTATTGGCATCTAAAGATTTTCTCGTTCCGAAGTAAACGAAGTAAACGAATCCTTTCGCTTACTTTCACAGTTCAGAGCAAAATCCAATTCTTCATAAGCCGTAAAAATGGCATTAAAATAGTAATATATATGATCCCTGGAGGACTTGATATGATTGAGGCGAATCGTTTTGGGTCAAAGATTTGATAATTGCAAACTTGATTGATACGTTCACGCTTCTCTGGGCTTAACCGTGTTCCAAAGTCGATTGACTTTCGAGCGTTAAGACTGATGTTTGCCCAATAGGTTGGAAGGATGTCAAATCGATACAAATGTTATTTAAGCTTGGGAATATTATATGGGATTTATATTTTTGTTCATGTTTTTCAAGTTTTTTTTTATTGTGTAAATTAGTAAAAAAAATTCTTTTTCTATTCCCACCTATAAAACGCCCATTATGGTACTTTTAAATACACATTGACAAGTTGTCGCTTTATGGCGTTTTAGTCACAGAAGTTAGTTTTAAGTTAGTTGACAGTTGTCAAATGTCACACAATCGTTAAAATAAAGTGCCTTTCTTGTAAAATAATACTAAATAAACATTATTTTATTATCTCAATACCGTAATTCAAAAGTAATAAATAGTTTCTTGATGCCATTTTTTAAAAAGATTATATGAACCTTTGGATTTCGCAGTAGTAGTGCAGCCAACTGATAAAGCTTAAAAAAATTTCTTACAGTGCCCATAAAACATTATCTTCTCTTTTACTGTGAAAATCTACTTCTATATCGATTGTTAATCTATTTTAAAAAGAAACAATTTTAATTAACACAAAAAAAATTGAGATTTTAATGCCGGTAGATTCCCAAGTTATAAATTCTAACGGCCATTCCAAGAAATACAACTGTCAATTTTTGAACCTTTAACATTTCTTGTGTAAGAATTTTTAATACTTTTGCAATTATAGTAACAAAAAAATATTTTTTTGATACCTAGGTATCATATTTTGAATTTATTTTAAAGTATCAATAATTGATAAGTTTAATTAAAATAATAACGGGCAATGTTAATGGTAAAAATTACGTCAAAAATGTTTATTGGGATGGTTACTTTATTTTCCTATAAATTTGATACATAATATACTATAAATATTCAGTTAAGTTACATTACAAAGGTCTTTGTATGACCTTTTTAACTATAAGGTTATAACCTTATAAAAGGGTGTGCCAAAAAGGGTTGGGATTTGGACAGAATTTTTATTTCAAAGTTTTCTATGAAATTTTTATGTGGGCAAAAAAAACATAAATTTTTGCACACCTATTATACAGGGTGTCCTGAAATTAGTGCACCATACTTTAACAGCAGATTCTACGTGCAAAAATAAGAAAAAAAGTCCCTATAAACATAGGTCAAGAAATGCCTCTTAAGGGAGCTACAGCCCCCAAAAGGAAAGCCTCTGAAGATGGTTTTTATTTAATATCTCCAAAACCGTTAAAGATAGAAAAGTGAAATTTAGGGAATTAATTAAACTTTTTATGACCAATAAGACGTAACAATAACAATTTAAAAAATTTCATGAGGTTTGGGTCAGATTGATAGGAAGTGGGGTTAAAACCACCTTAACTCTTTTGTACGTATCTTGTACCAAAATTTGATGTCAGATTATGAAATTTTGGAGTTTTGCACATAAAAAAGGTCATCTTGTAAAACTTCGTTAACATACACCGTTTTCGCTTAAAATCGATTTGAAAATTATTTTACATGGCATAAAAATGTGGCCCTTGGAATACGACTGCCATGTTTAGGAAAAAATAGAATAATTCAAGACAGGTGACAGTTTCATGTAGTAAGGGACAGGGTGTTTCTACTTTTTTATAAATATTAGATAAAAACCATATTCAGGGGCTCCCTTTTCGGGGGCTGTAGCTCCCTTAGGAGGCATTTCTCGATCTATATTTATAGGGACTTTTTTTCTTATTTTTGCACGTGGAATCTGCTGTTTAAGTATGGTGCACTAATTTCGGAACACCCTGTATATAGATAATATTTTTCAATATAATATAGCACGAATACAAAAATATTTCAATTAAAACTTAAAAGGTTTGATAAGAATAATGTATGTTAATTAGGGTGGGTCAAAAAAATCGACTATTTTTATTTTGACTTCTGCCACTGACATTCCAATGCGAATATCTTTTGATTGGTTAGAGTAATCGAAAAATCCTAAGAGACCTTTTTTGTAGAGCGTTCAATTTCCGATAGACAAAGTAAAATCTCAATTGTCGATAATTTTTTTTCAGTAAGTTACAAAATTCAGAACAGAAAAGTTATCTTTCTTAAAATTCTTCAATCTTTGACCTTGAATATCTCTTTAATAATTAGATTGATCAAAAAAGTATAGGAGATCTTTTTTGTAGAACATTTAATTTTCTAAAAATAACTCCTTTAGAGTTTTGCTGTATGATTAACGAATGATGAGATATGAATTTTTTGTAGGGGACTAAGAAAAATATGCAAAACTGTAATGAGGCGGATCTTCCCATCAAAGTTAAGAGCTCATCGTTGCTAAGTATGTTTTGAAGGTGCCCAGAAACCGATTTTTCAGTGGCAGAAGTCAAAATAAAAATAGTCGATTTTTTTGACCCACCCTAATGTTAATACAGTTTTAACAATATATAGTTATATAGCGTACGTAAATGTAGGAAACATACACGTTTAATAAAATTTCCATAAAATTCATTACGGGAGATTTTATAGCTTTTTTTCTTTTATCGTGGTGTGGTATAATATTTTTTAAAATTTTATATATATACAGTATTGGCCATAATTATTGCAACTGTAAAAAAATCCAACTCTAAAACGCCTTTATTAATCTTTATAAAATTTTGGGTGTTGTTTAACTATACCCACTCTCTTAAAATAAATTAGTCAAAATGACTCATTATAGTTATATTGTCTTAACGAAAGGCAATTAGACAAATTCTACCGAATTAAACTTATATCTCAGGTTTCGTGTTCAAGAGTTTTTCGAGAGAATATTTTTAAATTCCTTTTACTTAATAATGAAAAAAGGTTCGAAAAATAACTTTTAGGGATTTTTTTTAAGTAAATATAAAATATGCTGTTAAAGACCGTATTTTTGTTAGTATACCCTGAACATTTTGTACAAATCAAATGAACAGTACACAGAGATTCAAAGTCGTCAAAAATGACCACTTTCCAGCAAAATAATCAAAAAGGGTTTACTAACAAAAATACGGGTTTTCCAGCATATTTTTTTTATTAAATTTTTTTTAACTAGTTATTTTTCTAACGTTTTTTCATTATTAAATAAAAGCACTTTAAAAATATTTTCTCGAAAAACCATTGAACACGTAAACTGAGATATAAGTATTTTTATCCAAAATTTCATAAAGATTGCTTTTAACAAGGATATAATAAATCTTTTACCACAGTAAAACATTTTATTTTCGCAATAATATGAAATAATAAAGTTCAATTTTAACAACCGCAGACTTATTTTTACGGTCAAATTATTTATTTTCGGTTGTGTAGTTTATAGGACAATAGTCTGTAATATTCAATTAATATGAACACTACCCTAAGGTCATAGATTGCCGATATAAACTTAATTATCGATTAAGTTTATTATTTTAAGCAAAAATTTATTTCCTAATAAAATTATAACTTAACTAATCTATAGATGGGGTTAAAATTCTTTTCATTTAAGTTTCCAATTTTCAACAAATGCTTTTGTTGCTGTTCCTATAAAAAAGTTTGTAAAAATAAGGTCCTTTTTTAAAGTTACAAGAATTATGATTGAATTATTAACAGAATTTTGTTTAATTAAATCTACAAAATGTTTGTTATAATTACAAACTACTTCCTCTAGTTGACAGATTACAGTTGGTTGTAAACAACAAATATTTTTTAACTGTTTATATACATTTAACCTATCACTATCCACCACAAAACTTTATGACTCGGGTACCTGTTTCTGGATATCATAATTTTAAACCCTGATTGTGGCATTTATGTGTGCAGGCGCATGCATAAATACAATTTAAAATAATTACATTCATATTATATTAAAGAGTTTCTATAGTACCTACCTAGTATAAACTTATTACGCATCAATAAATACAAATTCATTTGGTAATAAACCTAGCGAAATAGATTTTAAAACAATATTTTAGTACTATAGTATACACAGTAAAAAATTTTGCCCGTGTAAATTTTTTAGTGTAAGGGTAAAAATATTAGAGTTGATTTGTAAGTGTAAAAGTTACACTACAAAATACACTAGGTAGCATTTAGTGCTTATTAACTTTATTAAACACATTTAAAGAATATGACCATTATTCATTGGTACATTCACACTATTTATTATTAAAATAAATCAAAAGGGTAGAAAAACTTAATGCGAGTGTTTATTACCCCTTAATGTGTTAAATAGTGACAAAATTTACACTACAGTGCATGCCAATTTCTTTGTCTGTTTTGATGTTACTAAGAGCTCTTTTTTCTTTACAATACTAGTGCAAAATGTATCACAATTGAAGTTAAATTACACCAAAAAACTGGTAATAACCAAAATGCGTTTTAAAATGTTTGGTTGGTACCTATCTACTTACGCAGTGCATATCCGGAGATACTGCGTTGTGGAAGTTTGGCATTTTTGTTCACCTAGATTTTAATTACGGTGAATCCATAAGGGGACATTCTTATTTTTTGGTAAGTATTATACTTTTCTTTAAGCCTTAATACTCAATAAATACCAATATGTTAAAAGGATGTCCATACCCGACCTATATTATTTATCAATAATTTACGGCAGTAGGTCGGTACTTGTTACATATGTAATAATATGTATAAATACATACACATTTGATTTACTTTTTATTTTCAAGCGTAATGGTTGTTATATTAACCTATACCTACATTTTTATTAATTTTATGGAAAATTTGTACACGACATACAGCCGCCTGACGCCTCTCTAACTATGGGATCACCCATTTTTTATAACAGAAAAATGGATTACTGATGAATTATCAAGATAATTCATTGCTTGCAAGTTGACAGCCAGTAAAACATTGCATTGATCTAAAACTTTTACGTTTTAAGGAACCATTTTGCTTAAGTCAGCCATACGACTCAAATATAAAATTATATTTTAAAAGGCACCGATTTTGATAATTGTCATAGATTTTTGTTCCAAATAAATGTTTCTCTTTATATATCTTTTCGTTTTATTCATTACCACCAATAGGTTTTACTCAAATCATATTGTTAATTTACACTAGAAGTTTGCACTAAAAGAGTAAAAGTACCTTTCTAAAATTAGAACTTTTCCAAAGTAGTGTTAATTTACACTGAACAAAAGTGGGATTTTACCCAGGAAGTGTAGAAGTACACGATTTTAGGTAAATTTACACTTTTTAATACAGTGTAAAATTACTTTATCCTCAGTGCTATAGTGTTAAATTATGATTGGGGGAAAATTACACTACAAATTAACTCTAATTGTAGTGTTATAAAACAACACTATTTAGTGTGGACCTGTGTGAACTCTAATTAGTGTTGCTTAGAGTTAATTTTTTTTTACAGTGTACAGCATAACACATCAAATTGGTTGATAATGTATTTCACCCGAACACCCTTTTTCTAACCTTAACCAACAGTCAGCGTCCAGGAATCCCGTTTAGCAACAATTTAGCGACGCCGTCGACGGTTATATAGGAACCGGCGTCGCGACGGCACTTCAGTTTACGGTCGGCGTTCAGATCGAGTCGAACACTTTTCCAGCTTCGGAACGCTCACATTTAAATTTCAGCTGAGCGGCAAAAAAGTTTTGCGGGATATTTTCAATTCGTTTTCAACCTTGGTACTCTGGTCAGTTTTTTAGGATATATGTTTGATTGGTAAGGATTAAAATTGTTGTTGAAAGTATTAAATATAAAATGTAAAAAATAGTTTTAAATTTAATAAAAAGGTAGATATTTATTTATTAAAATACTATTTGAATTTTTTGGTTTGGTTTTTAATAAATATAATAAATATTAACGTTATTTAAACAATAATATTTTTTTGCCAGTAAAAATTATAATTTTTTTAAAACCAAAAAGTATACTTTTATGATTAAAAATATTGTTGAAAAAGCCAAGGGTAAATTTATTTTGAGAAAATTAAAGATTTATTGGACAGCAAATTAAACAATTATTTATTTAAAAAAAGGCAATTAATTTTAAATGTTTTATTATGAATGGTTTATTTAAAAACAATGTTTAAAAATTTAAATACAGGGGCAGGTTTCCACCCCGGTTTTCTCAGGTATAACGTAAAAAACAAAAAACGCTCGCACACGTCGATTTTTGATATAAGAGGGACAATTTATTTTTACTTTTTCGACCCCGACCCTAAGCGTGGGGGATATTTACCCCCAAAATTATTTTTGCCCTGATTTTACCCTCCAAGAATAAAGTAATCTCCGTTGATATGACAGCTTTTCAAAATTTGTATAAATAAATTTAATAAATATTTAATCACAATGTCTTGGTGGATATAATGGGGTCAAAAACCTTTAAAATAATCCCTCGACCCTATCATTTAAAATTTTAGGGGTGAAACTCACCACTGTAAGAAGGATTGAGTGATGCCTTATTTGGTTAAAAACTTTGGTGTAAGGTGTAACAAAAATTCTTCACGAAGGAATCTGTAAAAAATGTTCTCATAGATGGCCAGAATTGCTTACTTATAAAAAAAAGTAAACGCGAATTTTAAAAATTGCGTTTGGGCTACAATCATTGAAGTTAAAATTTTTAATCGCAAAAATGAAAATGGAAATATGAATGAAATATAGAAACTTAATTTTTTTTAGAAGATTTAAACTTCAATTACGTATTGTAGTTATTTTTATTATATCTAATTAATTTTATTATTATTATTATTATTTTTATTATATAATTAATTAGTTAATAAAAAACGTTTTGCTATTGTTTGAGTTTATAAATTTAATAAGGTTCTATTCGTACCACATATTATATACAGTAGTTGTTCATTATCAAAGTTGTTCATTGTCAAAGTTTCCTTTTGTAATCTGGATAATATATCATAATTCCAATTAAGTAGAAGTATTATACTAAAATTCAACTTTATCCTGAATTGCCTATAGGGTTTCTGGTTTATTACCAACACAGTTCTACAATATTTAAGGTCTTTTTATCCTAAAAAAAACTATTTAAATTTTTTTAATACCCTTCACATAAAACTCTTTCAAATTCTTTTCAATTAACTTCTAGACAAAAAGAGATTATTGCCTGGCAAAGAAACATCATAAATCATACACAACAATATACATATTACTCTAAAATGTATGATTTATAGGTTTGATTGTTCTATAGAATATAATATACACACATTCATATTATATATCATTGATAGAGTGTAGTTAATTTTCAATTAATCCACACGTGACCAAGCTGTTGATAACAGATTCCGTGGCGTAACTGGATAAGTAATTATTTTCACACCTGCGAACAGCAGGCATGTGGATATGGATCTAAAGGGATAATTTTCAAAGGCACCTATTGGAAAATTTATCTTCAAAATTTTGAATTCTTTATGAGGTAGTAAACATTTTCTAATGTACTAATTTATAAAAATATCCTTGTTAAAATATTAAATTAAAAACTAAAATTTACATACACACAATACCTATACAAAGTTTCCATTATACCTACTAACATTAGGTCACAGATAAAACCTGCTTTTTATTGGCCTATAAAATTTTTATTATCAGAATTAATAAATGAAGATACCTACCAATAGTGTTATAAAATTCTTTTATGCACGATGACATTATAATATGACAATTATAACAAAAAATCTTTGACGTAAACGTCTTTTTATAGACCGCGGGCGTTATTATGACCCAGCGGGCTATAATGAAATGTCAAAAATTAAAAACAACAATGTTACACCATTTGATATATTCGAAGTAAGTTTTTTCGTATAAAGATTTTGATGTTTTCGGCAGCAGGCCGCAACTTTTCGCCTTTTCAGCTGCTTCCTCAATTTCATTCATCTTTAAACTTTAAAACTGACTGATGTCAGTTGACATTATAATATGACAATTATAACAAAAATTCTTTGACGTAAACGTCTTTAAAAACAATAATATATTAAAAATAATAATATATTAATCGTGCATAAAGTTTTGTATGCATTGCTGGCATAACTGGTTTTTATGGTCCTACGACGCTTTTCTAGCCCTCGCGCTAACGCGCTCGGGCTCGAAATAGCGCCTCGGACCATAAAAACCTTATTATGCCCTTAATACATAAATAACTATTAAAAACAATGTTATTTCGACCTACCTTGGATGAAGTTTGCAAACTAGTTTACATATGCTTTACATATATTTAGTATTTTCGTTAGGTTCGTTTCGTTTATGTAAATAAACGTTTTTGTGTTGCATAATTAAAACAAATATGCAAAAGTAAATATAATATAATATGCCAAAAAATTAACATCATTACATTTAAATCTTTCCAAAAATGGCGAATGCTCCGGGGTTAATTTTTAAAAATTAAATTTGGAACAGTGCGCGTCAAAATTAACGCATAACAAGTAAAAAAAAATCCAACTCTAAAACGCCTTTACCAATCTTTATGGTATTTTGTATAAAAATACTTCGCCTTATATCTCAGTTTACGTGTTCGAGGGTTTTTCGAAAAAATATCCTTAAAGCCCTTTTATTTAATAATAAAAAAAAATAAAAATTTTCGTTTTATTTTTAAGTAAATTAAAAATATGCTGTTAAAGACCGTATATTTAGTTAGTATACCCTAAACATTTTTAACAAATCAAACGAATAGTAACGAAGATACTCAAAGTCGGTAAAAATGACTCCTTTTTAATTATTTTGCTAAAAAGTGGTCATTTTTGAAGCGCTGTATTTTCATTCCTTTTTGTTCGATTTGTACCACATTTTTAGGGTATACTTTCAAAAATAGCATACTTTTTAGTTACTTAAAAAAAACTTTCCCTATAAAAGTTTTTTAGAGCGTTTTTTATTATTAAATAAAAGGGTTTAAGGATATTTACTCGAAAAACCTTTGAACACGTAAACTGAGATATAAGTTAAAGTATTTTTATCCAAAATTTTATAAAAATTGGTTAAGGCTTTTTAGAGTTGGATTTTTTTACTTGTTATGCGTTAATTTTGACGCGCAGTGTATTATATATTTAAAAATTGTTTCTCAAACTAAATTTACATTTCCTATTTATTTTTATAAATGTCCTAATACATATTCACAAACTTTTTTCTCAATTCCATAAAGATTGTCAAAAAACTTTTTAAATTTAGCTGGTATATTTATTTAATTATGGTGTATTAATTTATTAATGTTTACATACTTTTAAAGTTGATGTAATTTTTCTATTTAAATACAAGGTGATTCACGAAACCTATTCATTAGAAGTTTATGGAGAACTGAAATTTGTGCAGCAGTTATAAGGAAATGTAAACTACTTTTTAAAATTATTTTCAATGCGTTACCAGTTCCGGTGAAACCGGAAGTAATATCATCTTTGGTTTTATAAAAGGAACCATATAAATATTATTGAATTTTTAAATTATACGTAAAATTTTAGAAATACCACAATTTGATAATTTTTTTTAATTTTTAACAGATTTCTTGATTTTTGACAGATGATTAGGATTGCAGGTGCAGTATTTCTCATACCTAAAATAAATATTTACCCAGATATTACAAAAAAGTGAAAAAAACGCTTATTTGTAATATCGGTAGTGTGCGTTGGATTGTCTATAATTTCGTATTTATAAAGTAATGTTAATGTCAACGTCTCTGACAATTTTGTTACAGTGAGTAATAATAATCACACTAATCAAGATATTCTAAACATGTTTTATACATATGGCGAATGCGAAAAAGTTTTAGAAAGAACAATATGAACTTTAAGATCCCAATTTAACCCCACTCAAAAAGTGAGCCAAGCGTTTTCAGAACTGTCCCACAAAAAAATTTTGAGAAAAACCTTTGAAGGTGTCTTGCGACGGATCAATATGTGTCGTGAACATCTACTTTGAGTTTGTTTTATTTGTTATATTTGTTTATTTTTTCAATATTATTTTTGAACTTTAAATTAATAATTCTTTTAGCGTTGTTTAATACGAAATAAAAACAATACAACGCACAATACTGATATTACACATTAAAAGTTTCATTTGTTTTTTCTAAAACTTTTCCGCACTTGCTATATGTACAAAACATGTTTGGAATATCTTGATTAGTGTAATTGAGGCATGTCATAGCAAAACCGACAATCTCCACTTTTGGTCAAAAATTAGATTTTTGGCGGAAACTGTACTTCAACTAATTATCTATAAGATGATAAAGTTTATGTGCTGCAAAAGGAGCTAAATCCTACTTAAAATCCTATTTTAAAAATGACATTTAGTGCAAATTCGACAATCTCCACTGATAGATTTGCAGCAAAGTATACAATCTCCAATTCCATCATTAGAAATTATTAATTTGTGTCACCTGATATACGAACATTTGATGTTATAACGTATTTTAGAGATTTAATTTTGTGTTTTTTTACTGGTACACACTGTTAAGTTCTATTGCACTAAATTGCACTTAAAAATATATATTAAAAATAGGTATATTATATGTTTTATTGTTTTAAGAATTATAAAAAAAGTTATCTTGTTTATTTTGTGCTATTATACCATAATAGGACGTAAAGGTAAAGCAAGAAAAGGCTGATAATGTCAAAACATAGCAAGTAAAATATTACGGGGCAAAGTGGGAAGAAGATGATGAGTTGTTGTACTATAAAAACTTTTTTGCACGAGGCAACCTGGTCCCAGATTTAGAAGAAACTCCAGATTTATGTGGTCCAGTTCAGAATTTTCCCACATTAAAGGAAAAAAATACAATTATTTTTTTGTTTATTTTTCTAAATCTTCTTAAACGCTTACAACAAAATGAGCAATCTCCAGCAATTCATATCAAAGTAAGCAATCTCCAATTTATAATTATAGATTTCACGTATGCATCCTGGAGACCTTGTAGTTTGCTACTAGACTAACAACAACAATATTTCAATATAATATATAAAAAAATTACAAATCTAGAATTTAAAATACCAAAATCAATTATCTCAATTTACTCAGTTTTAGTCTGACGGGAGATTGTTGACTTTGCTCTGACAGGCCTCAATTATTATCACCTATTGTAACACAATTGTCAGAGACGTTGACATTGACATTACTTTATAAATACTAAATAAAAGACAATATGCTGATAATAAATAATTTTTAAAAATAGTTTACATTGCCTTTTAATTGCTATACAAATTTTAAATCGATATCTTTTTCCGTTCTCCATAAACTTATAATGAATAAGTTAGGTTAATCACGATGTATACAAAAAATGTATAATATAAGATAATTTATTTAAATTTGACATGTATTTAGACGTAAAAGTAAGTTTTAAAATAAAAAAAAAATATTTGAACAGATTTTAGTACATTTCAAAATATAAAAAAATAGAAAACCTGACACTTATCCTTCTTTTCAGATCATGGTATTGCAACAAACACCTTTCGGGCCCCTGTCAAACGGTTGAGATCAAGTAGTCGGCCCACCAACAATCGACTTAAGCATGGCTGCGCTGACAACCGTGACACCTGTCAATATTGACGTCGTCACCTACTCTGATGCCGCGAGCATCGGCAACAAAACAATGCAGGATCTTATCGTGAACCAAAGCAAAGAGGTCGATCCGAAACTGATGGATCGCTACTTGATGAACAAAGCGATCGACGAGCCGGCCTACACCACGCTGATCGCGATGTATGGCGTTTTGATTGTGCTGGGGGCACTGGGAAACACTCTTGTCGTAAGTAGTTTACAAAATTTTATTTTCCCCTTAGGAATTTCTGAATGTCTCTTTTAATATTACGAACACTGTTCAAAATCAAGCCTTTTGAAATACCTAATCAGAATTAGTTAAGGAAAAATAAGGTAATATGCTTAAACCTTCTCGTTTATTAGGCAGAAACGAATGCCTTAGTTCTATGGTGTATTCACTAACTTCTAGATAAATATTCATACTTTACTTAATAAACTTGTCAAATTTAAAAAGATAGGCAGATTACCTAAATATTTAGTCAAAATCTCAATTACTTTTAGGTACGACAATTTTGCTTTTAATTTAGGTAATTCTTCTAAATTATTATGGCAAATTATTGAACTAATTGAGGTAAATTCCTTTAAATATTAGTGACTTACTTGCAATCGGCTACGATCACTAATACCGACGTTTTACGATAAATATTCGCGCCTATATTGTCCACCATAATGCCAAAATCAACGAAAGCTTTGACCGCGTTGTGTGCAAATGATATAACAACATAGTTAACAATTATTGTGCTATAATTGAACATTTTGTAGTGCCATAGTTAAGTAATCCAAACTAAATGGAATTTCCCATTGACCCCAATTTATTTTTAAATAATCCCAACCCTGCAGGGTACATGTAGTACCGGAACCGCCGTTGTTAATTCGCCTAGGACATAAAGATAAAGGAGCCCTAACTTGGAAGAAAATTCCTATGCTAGGATTTTCACTAAAAATATATATAATTTGCCTGAAAACTTAGCTAAAATCTACCTAAAAATTTAAGCAAATTGCCTTAGAAACAGGAAATTTATTCTTTTATTCTCAGGCAATATCCCTTACGATCTAAGGTGTATCATCTTTGAAACCTAAGTAATTTTGCTTAATTAATTGTATCATTTTCTTTAAAAATATCAGTTAAAGAATTCACTAATTTAAAAGGGGAATATTCCTCTGAATTCATACCAAGCAATTTGCCTTAAAATATCAATGGTCCTATATAGTCTAATATTTTAGGTAAAAATTAGCTAAAATTTTGAACAGTGTAACACAGGCAGATCTAGCTTAAAAATTATTACCTAGAAAACCAACATTTTTGTTATATAAATTTTGCACTAGTATTAGTTTTAATACATTCTGAATAAGCTACTGTTTTTTTAAATTACATTCTAAAAAAACTACTGTGTAGCGAAACAATTGTCAATATTTAATAAATTACGGGGAACTTATAAACATAGTTGTTTATATATTCACATACTTTTATTGACCCCTTATGTTTACTTAGTCACTAATATCAAAAATAATTTCTTATTGCATTTTACAAAAAAAATTAAATTATTCGAGGGGGAAATCAATCAGTACTAAAATTGGTCCTCATACTCTCCTCCTTGTAGGGATACAGGAGGTAACTTTAAAATTTCCAAAGGAATTTTTTATTGCAGATTCGAATCATTCGACTAAATATAGGTAGATTTTGTCAAAAACATTTTTTCATATTTGTAATAGATGGCGCTGTAATGAAAAAAACAATCAATTTTGTTCGATTTTTCTTCTGTATACGATTCTCCAATAATTTTTGAATAAAATACTTGGTTTTACTTTTAAAATTTATTTATTTATTTTTTAAATTTTAATTAAAGTAGGTGCTCAAAATAACAATATTAAATATTTGCTCGACGAACTCTTTTTTTCGGTTGAACACTCCCGTTTTTAGTAAACTGCTTGACTGTACGGTGAAATGAAGTACGTGATCGAATTTTTCCGGGAAACGCTGAGCGTAGATATTAACAGCATAAACCAAGATTACTGCCTGCTTCTCCATAACTCAAAATCATTTCTATTTTTTCTTCCACTGTTAAAAAATCCATTATGAATAACTGCTTAACGAAAGGAGGTCTTTTTGTTTGTAAATTAATCTTTGAACCAAATTGATTAAATAATGCTAAACTATAAATGGTTTTTTATACCTCAATAATAATATTATTATTATAATAATTATTATTTAAAACTAATTACCATTTTTTATACCTCAATTAGGATTAAATTAATTAATTGACAAAATAATGTTTTTTTTAACCTTAAATGAGGTATTTTTATTGAAAATAGTACAATAATCCTTTAAATTAAAGGATTTAATGCTGGCAGGTAAAAAGTGACCATGGTGCGTAATTGATAATTATCACCGAATGAAATAATGTATAAAAATTAAACCAAAGGAAACTTAAATATTAGTTAAAAAATCGTGGGTACTTAAAAAAATAATATTTAATTTAATAAGATAATTATTAACAAAAAAAGTGATATTTTTATAGAAAAATTATTGCAGAATCATATACAGAACAAAAATCAATCAAAATTAGTCGAATGATTCGAATCTGCAATAAAAAATAGGGTGTTCCATCGGAAATTTTAAAGTTACCCCCTGTTCCCCCTATAAGGAGGAGAGTATGAGGACCAATTTTAGTACGGATTGATTTCCCCCCTCGAATCATTTAATTTTTATTTTAAAACATTTTATCGTAAAATGCAAACTAATTGAGATATTTCAAGTGAAATGAGTCACCCTGTATAATTGATATAATCTACAAGTAAAAATAAAAAAAAGTTGGCTTCAAACAGATAAAACTGTTTCCCAAAATCAGGTTTTTATAACGCATTTCAGGAACAGCTACTGCCAAAATAATGATGCTTTATTTCTGGGGTAATTTTCCAGATAATTTTACATAAAAATGGTGCTCTTGTTACAAAGTCAGAAAATGTCTCACCCCAAAAATTCATAAATTCAATCATTAAACACAGTAATACATTAACATTATTTCCGGACACCCTGTATACATATACATTTATATTTCATTTCATTAGGAAATACTTGAATAAATACGACACAAATTTCCATAAGTAAACCTGTCAAATTAAAAGTAACGATGATTTATATCGAATGGTTGTTAAAATAAATACTCGTGTTTGAATTTGTGGAAAATTATTTTTCTAAGAATTAGAATAAATTTACTGAAGCTTATAGGACTTAATAAAATATATAATACTTAAAATAATAATTTTAAAGAGTAGGTTTCAAGTTTAGTGTTTGTGAAGGTACTTTAAAATTAACATTTAACATTAAAATTTTAGTAAAGCATTTCAAATGGTGAGTTTTTAGTAAATTTCAAGAGCAATATTGATATAAAATGTTCCCAATTAAACCGATCAAGATATATTCAAATAAACTGATTCCGATACGTATTCTAACTAATATAATATATTATATAATATATATTATATATTATATATATATATATATAATATTATTATGTGTATAAAAATACGAAAGCGTTTGTTTGATTTAAGCAACAAATAGACGTAACATTTTACATGGAGATATGTTATGGTCTGGAGAGTAGCAAAGGCTACTTTTTAGTTATTTTAAAACTTTTTTTTTTTAACTCTTTTTAAAGAACAAATTATAAAATTCGAAATGTTCAACTTAAACACAAGAATTACATATTTCAAGGCAATTATCTCAAAATCGGTTATGGTAAGGACAGTTTTATTTTACAACTGAGCTTAAAGTTTCCTACCCTGTATTTAGAAAAATAGAATTAACGTTAAAATAAAAAAAACAAAATAAAATTTTTACGTGTTATTAAAATGGTCAATAAAAAATAAAATAACCTTAAAACCCTTACAATCAATACTAAGTGATCATATTTGACAGAGATAAATTGCCCTACTAAAATCTTAATGCGCGTTTAAAAAAATATTTTTTTGTAACACCCTAGTGTATATTTTAGCTTGTACGCTGTTAAAAGACAAATTAAATTTAAGTATTCAACTACATATTATGTATGGGTATCTTTTTTATTTGAAGACCTACAAGGTCGGTTAAATTGCGTAAGTACAAGTCTTTAAAAATCAAATTTATAAATTGGAAAAAAGCCAGCGGTTTTTGAAATTAAAAAAAACAAAAAACCTTTAAAAAAATCGTTATAACTTTGATCCACAATTATCTACATTTTCATACAATTTCTTCGCTACTATATTTTTAGTTACCATTACCATCTTTTGTTTTTATATATTGGCCGCCATAATCATTGGATTCCTTGATCATTTGTCTATCTAACTATAAAAAATTCCAATATGGCAGTTATGGAAAAAAACATATGATGGTAAAATGTTAAAATCTTTTAGGACCACGGTCTTATATACAGGTCTTGCAACTTCGCCCAATTTCAATAGGAAAAGTGACCTCTCTAATGAGACACCCACCAGATGGCGCATCGAGTTGTGGGTGAACCATAGATGTTTAAAGGTCGTTTTTACCTTCTTTATCTTTGGGTTTTACAATCGTTAGATAAGCTCTCTGGTGGATAATTTTCTTAGATAGAAGGTTATTATGAAAGTTATCCGCCAAATAAGCTAACTTAATCTAACGATTGTAAAACCGGCTCTAAGTCCTTAAAGTCTATGGGATAAAAGGTCAAATGAACTACCTACTTATGTTCTGTGTTAAAAAACATAACCTACATTTTTATAAACAAGCTTGTGTATTTTGTTACAGGGAGTTTTTACTTATTAATTAGATTAAAATAGATTAAAATAGCTGACAGTTTGGCTAGTTTATAAACTACCCAGCTACTTTATAAACTATCCATGTTTACACATTAGCCGTAACATATATATGATATACGTATGTATTTTATACATTAACATGTTTTACTTACATGTTTGGTCTGGGCATGTGACGGCCGAGGACTTTGTGCATAGAGTATAGACTTTGTTGTCCTATTTTGTTAACGTAAATTATCCGAAACAAACTCACAAATATTAAATTTTTGAAAATGTAAACAAAACATAGAAAAAGAATTTAAAAAGTTAGGTTATGGTTATGCAGTAGTTCCACATTTAACTAAGTAGTTCATTTAATTAACTTCACCCTTCGATCTTAGCGCCACCTAGCGGCTTGGCACGTTAAGGAACCCACCTCGAATTAAAGTTGCAAGACCT